ACTTTGACAGCAATAGACTGACATGCAAGGTGACATGTCAATGAAGTTTTCAGTTACTGTTGCCATTAAAAGAAATTAGTACCATTAGTTTTCCGCAACATGGCGAGGGTTTTTATGTTCCTGGTCAGGCTATACTATTAATCATCAATAATAATTGCAGCATCTGTGTCCGGCGCCGACACGGCCAGCCTGACTATCGCACGGCCTCGTGCGCTTAGTCCAGGGTTTGTCCATCTGTAAACATTAAATTTCTCATTATCACAGCTCGTCCATTCCTGACTACAGAGCATGCGAACATCATATCGTAGAATCACAATAAATACAGCTGATCAGGGCGTGATGACCCTCGATCANTTAGATGTGTAGTGAGTGTCCTTACAAAGTGTTTTTTAAAATATTCGGAAATCTTGAAAACTTTAAATTTTCTTTGCCGATATAACGACAGAAATAAAAAAAAACTGTCATGTCTTTCTTTGCTGCTGGTCGGTAAAACAGCTTCAAATTTTCCGCAAAAGCGAAAACGGAAAGTCGATAATTTCACTCTTTTCGTTCAAAAGTACTACAAACTAGTGTTAAATACATCTAGACTGTTCTTTATTTATGTAATTTTGATTTTCTTGCTGAACATTACCCGAACACTCTTTTTCCATAATTTTATTTTAAATATTGGCGGAAGGTGCCGCCCCCGCTACACTGCATCGGTCGGAGGGGCCGGCTATGAGTAATACCGTTTCTCGTGCTGAGTGACGTCGTGCAGCGGCTGCCGGCAAGCGGCTCGCAGACCTCAGTCCGATACGACCAAGAGGCACGACAGGACCCGCCCTCTGCACTCGCACCCTCGCACTCGCGCTACTTTTATCGCACCCTATCGATCACCCTCGAAATCTATAGTTTTATTTATTCAGTGTAAAGGAAACGTTATGGATAGTGCTGACGCACTTCTGGGAGGGCTGGCGAGCGGCGACAAAGCTCCAGCGCCAGAGGTGCCTATGCACGGGGATGCCGTTCTGAAGCGCGATCAGGACTCCACCGATGACTTCGAGCACCTGGACCGCGACGCCAAGCAGGAGGCCGGAGAGTCGCCCCTGCACCAGCCGCGCGTCGCCTCGCAGAACTTCCTCGACATGGAGCGCGACGAGTTCGTAGACACACCGCGTGCACCCTCCGCCGCCGACAAGCTGGCCGACCAGCTCGCGGATAAGTTCACCGACAGCGAGTCGGACGCGGACACCGCCGGCGAGTCGCCGATGCACCGGCCCGAGCCGCCGCGGGCGAGCGCGCCCTCGGAGCCCGCCGCGCTGGACCCCACGCCCGTGCTGGCGCCCGCCCCGGCCGCGCCGCCCGTCGTGGCGCCCGCCGCGTCGCAGCCAGTCGCAACTGCTTTTGAGACCGCTTCCGAGTTCGAACCGAAACCGCGTACCCCTACGCCGGAGCCCAAACAGGAGCCGCCGAAACCAGAGCCCGCCCTGCAGCCGCAGCCCGCCCTGCAGCCGCAGCCCGCCCTGCAGCCGAAGCCCGCCGCGCCCGCGTCCCAGCCGCAGCCAGCACCCGCGCCCAAGCCGGAGCCCGCCCGCGCGCCCACTGCACACATCATCGAGGCTGAAGTAATCTTCTGTCAGATGGGTCTTGGTAAGCGATAATATTCTCTTTTTAATTTTAAACATTTAAATTAATAATAATTTTACAGTAGCAGCAGCAGTTGCATTTTTAGCAACATTTCCTAAATCTTTGACCAAGCCTTTTCAAACATGAGTAAATAGCACAGTAATATTGGTATGTGACAATAATTTTGTTGTTATTATCGACATTACCATTCAATATTCAAGTGGTGCAGCGCACAGCGCAGTCTTTATTTGTATCGACAGAATGATTTCATCGTCCATTTCCAAAGTTTCGCGCAGTGACGACACGCTCGCGCCTCTTTTTTGCGGAACGTAAAGATCGCATGAACCGCAGCCTCGTTTCAAGGCGAGCACGGCGCTTCAGACCGTGAAGAATCACGTCTGCAGGTGAACAAAGCCAGCTTACACAATAACCGCGGCCCCCGAATAACCAAAACTCGATTACATTTTGCTATAAGGTGCTCGCTCGTTCAATGATAAACTGATGATGATTCATCCTCATATAAAGCAACCGATGAGTAAGAGTGTAGCTAGATACCTACCGGTGTTTACGGGGAGTCGGGGAGAGATCTATAAAATTGAGCTCTCAAATTATTAAGTGGGAGGTGGAGGGGGAGGTCAGCTGCAGAGGTGGCGAAGCGGCAAGAGCGTTGACCGCTGCAGCGACGGGGTAACGGCACCCGCTGAAACCCACGCCTCTCACTGCACGCGGAAAGAAAGGATGTCGCCGTGAGTGACGCATTGCTTCCGGAAGCGTACCTTACCTATCTATCCAGCTAAAATTAACAAAGGCTTTTTTAAAAATAGAACCTGAAAAAGGGTCGAACCACAAAATAGAACAGTACCAACCTACTCGAACGCCGTTAAAGGCTACAAACTGTAAAACCCATTCCCAAATTGATCGCGTGTTACGTACGACGACAGAAATCGATGTAATTTACATTAAAACGCATGCATGAGTCATTGTATCGCACCGCATCGCATCAATACATATTTCGAAAAAATATTATAAAAAATACGAGTATACTTACTAAAACTTTGAATACCTAGATAGAAGGTGTAAGTTACTTTGAGACAGACATAGGTACCTCCTACTTTACTACAGGCATAAAAAAGAGAAGATAAGAAAACACTCGTTATCTTATCGACCGTCAAGTTTCTGTAAAACTTGATGCATCTAACTAAATACACTGTTATTATGAACATAAGAACATTATTGTAGTCTAATCTATATGATGATGTAGAGTTCAAGTAACTAATTCATTCATTTGTATTTGAAGCATCTACTGGAAGTACCTTTATCACGCAACTCTATGCTTTTGCCAGAAGAGATTTCGGAATGTGGCCTAAAAATTATAGAAAAAATGGCATCAATCATGATTTTCAGCGGCGTTTGGCGGTCGCTAGGAGCGGACACGCGGCGTGGTATGCGCTGCAAGTGCGACGGCACCACACCAGTGCTAATTATAGTCGGTTCTGAAGCAGCCCGCTCACAAACTGAGTTCCCACCGTGGTGAGCTCACGTCCGGCTGGCCGCTGCTCCCATCAGCCCAAAGCAAAGACTACCCATGTAGCCCTAAGCTCTGCCGTCAAGTGACTTATTTTTTCGACGGGACATTCACTCATTTTGTGTCAAATTTGTGTGTTTTTAACTATAGAACAATGGGATCTGGAAGTGGGGAAGTGGTTAATAGTAAGTACGGAAATGGCTTCATTTATTTGTGCTTTAGGACTTCAGTTCAGAAAAATGAAATCTTATCTTGGTTATGGCCTGCTTCTTGTATTTTTCATTGAATCTATACAGATAAAAAGTATTTACAATGACAATGCGGTCATCTTAGTTACCGCTGAAAACTATGGAAGCCGTCAGATTATTTTCGGGATCTCACATGTTAAAAATATGCACGTCATTTATGAAAAATAACAGCCTTTACACACACTGCTCTGCCAACAACTTTGCCACTATCTACAATTCTACATATTCATTATTTTATGATTAATTATAACTGTAAACGATCAATAGTAAAACAAACATTGTACCTAACTATAAAACTAGGTTTCTTGCATTCTGGTTTTATTTTTGGTTACTTTTTGTACATTTACCTATATGTTTCGAACAACCTTTCGACCGTAATAAAACTCCTGTTATCAAATGAACTTAAAGCCTTTTAAATCGTTTCTACTTTTTTAAATTACTATAGAAAAAAAAGAAAGTCCAACTAGTCTCAGTTGAGATTACATTACAAAAGAAAACTGTTTGGTTGGTCTCATGGGTAGTTAGGTACATAGCGTACCTACTTACACCCGCTCCTAAAAGTTGCTTGTGTGCCCCTCTTTGGATACCCTTGACCTAATTCGGAAAGCCCTTCTGCAAAATTACGCGTGACGCGCTCTTTGTTTCAGCTTATTTGTTCTCTGTTAAGTATAACGCTTTCAGTAGATAGGTACATTGTTCCTACGCATTTTCATCATTATTATATGCATTCAAACTTTTAAACTTTAAGTGGGTCTCTGCGATAAAACTGTTAGGTTAAATTAACATTCGAATTCTTATTATGGACTTTGTTTTGGTTTATTTTAGGTTGGTTTGGTTAACCAGAAAATATTATTTGCTAGTCCATAGTGTTGCGGAAAACCCAGACAGACGTAATAAAGGCTAGGCCTCCGCAGGGGCGGGGGCGGGGGACGGCCAGGATCGATACTGTACGCGCCACCCGGCGCCGCATATACACCTACCGTCTGCCCACTTGATGGTCCTAAAGGGATTACCCGTTGCTTATCCGACGTCTTGCAGTCTGAACTATTTTAGCCCGGGTTATCTATTATTTATCGATTTCAGTGTCGACTTCCTTTGTCATTTTCTTAATTTAATATTTAAAAGTCAATGTCGGTCAAAGTCAAATTCACGGAAATTAGAGATAAATATTGTTTTATATGGAAAATAAATAACTAAAAAAAAAATGGACATTTGGGACTTCGATCATATTCGCGTTATTGAAATACACAAGACTTTTATTTACACCTACAAAGTTTAAATGGGCAGAGTTATATACAAATAAACTCATAAAACTCTTATTTTTGCAAATAGGCTTTTAAAAAGCACTTTTACAAATTCAAATTCAATTGTTTATTCAGTACATATAGGCCTGGAAAGGTCGGGCACTTATACGAAAAAATAAATAAACCAGTGCTGAGAAGAAGCAGCGCAAGAATACTATTGTCAGCCTCCTTTTCAAGGGGTTACAGTCTTTAAAATATACAAATTTTATTATAGTCATATGTACGAGTAGGTATTGATGCGAATTGCGAACTAGGCCTAGTTAAACATTCCAAACATTTTTATCTTTTATACATTAAGGTGCTTTTAATATGTGCTTTAAATTTATGAATGGACAATTCTTCAAAAGTTTGTCATAATTTATTATAATAAAAATTTGTAACAATTTTTGTAATAAAAAATCTATGTTTTTGTCCATAATTTATGATGTCTAGTTTCACCGCTTTCTGGGGTTTGCACTTTTAATATACTAGGACACACAAAAGCCTTCCTCGCTCGCTAAATGGGCTATAGGGCTATCCAATGCAAAAATAATAATTTTTCAAATCGGAACAGTAGTTCTTGAGATTAGCGCGTTCAAGCAAACAAACAAACTCTTCAGCTTTATAATATTAGTATAGATTAGATTTATTTAGGCCTAGGATCATAATGGGCAACAAATGAAGCCATTATTTAAAACAATAAAAAGTTTGTAGGAATTAAATCTGATTTAGGTACTACTGGCCTATTTATTGTTGATTAGGATTTGACATATATCAAACTGTTTCTAGTCTGGTAGGGACAGAAAAAATTAATCACATTGCTGCTATGGTGACGAGTGCGAGCGGGTGACAATGCAGGTGCGTGGTGACGTCACGGGAGCCGCGACTCGCCTGGGTATTTATAGCGGCGTGCCGTCGCCATGCCTAGTCGTCTCGCTCGTCACTATACTCCACTATTGCATTTACCGTAATATGCATTATTACTGCAAATATAATCGCGCTTTCAATAAAACCAACTAAATGATGTAATGTAGCGTTCCATTGGAAGAAGAAGAACGATTCCTTATAAGCGCGCGCACTGGTGACTTTATTCCATGCGCGTATATACCGGATACAATTCATAAGCTGAAAGCTCGCCTCATTTTAACGTAGTCAATCGGCGCAATATCCCGTCCCGATGGAATGGTTTTGACATTCTGTAACTGTTAGCATTTAGTACTACTAGGCTTGGAACCTGTACGTCAGCCTTGATCAAATCGTGTCAAAACGTAATCTAAATGTGTTGAGTTGCGTGATTAGGTCATTTGATAAGCCCGAGCCCGTGAGTCACGCTCACTCACCTAGAACCTCAGCTCGTGTCTGTGTCGCAGCCCTCTAGTTAAATTAGCAAGTTAATTGGATGCCTAGGCCGTTTATATGCCGAAGATGCCGAAGGACAACTAGCCGAGTGAATGAGCGCAGCGTTTAGTGTTAGTGAAACCATTTTTGGAGAAAAAATGCATTACCCTGCGGGAATAGGGATAGGTTATGTGGGGCTAGGGCTCACCAAGCCAGAAGAACGAGGTACACTTAAAAGAAGTGATCCATCACTGGCCATGGGTGGAAGACTTCCACTGGAAATAGAAGTGGAGTGTGGGATTCTGGACAAAGCTTCCACTACTACAGTCCCTCCCTGCAACCTAATCTTACCTAACCGCTGAACTATTTTAATTACTTGACACTATTGGTCAGTCATCTTCAAAGGGCTAACTTTCACCTAGTTAAATGTTGAGTGTTTCTAGTAATAACTATGGCCTAGGCATCTTGCTGGATGCCATGACGGCGATTGATGGCTTAGCTAGGCCTTATCTAATTTAACCACATAACTAGCTGCGACATTTATACTTAAAGTTTTGGATACGTCCGACCATTTTACGGATCTAACCATCTTAAAACAATAAATTGTGACGCATCATACCTAAACCATTTGTTGTTCTGATTATTTTCGTCATTGGGTTCACCTTACGAAGAGACATACAAATTGATACAAAGGAGTTGAAACTTGTTGCAATAATGAGATGTCTCGCTCGCTTGACTATACATATACGGAGTAAGGAATCTATACTTATAGGTGACGTTAGTACATTATCATTGTGTGTTAAATGATGAGGGTCGCGTCAGCCGCGCTCGTAAACACCGACTGTTGTGACTCATGCTGTAGAAGCACACAATATCACCGCCATACTTAGTTGATGGTTTTATGCTAAGATGTTTCTTCTACTCATGCTTTTCTCTTTATTTATTTAGCAAAATCCTCAATAACAAACTGAACTTAGTTATTGATCTGATTGTAAGTTAAAAATCTGACTGTTGGCTTGTATTTTATTTTACTCGTACCAATATGAATTAAGATATTTATGACTGAAATAAATGATTCGATTTTAACCTAATTCTTTTGACGTGTGAGTTGTACTTGACTGGTCTGTATCCTCAGCACGCAATAATATTGTATCATTGCGCGAGACAAGGATAGTTTTGTATTGTATACCTAGGTCTGTCTGTAGTAGTAATATCCTTTTATGTTATAGGTCTCTCAGTCTTATTTTTCATATAGCACCTAAGTATTTTTACAACCATAAGTATTAATTCTTATTATGGTAGGTCATATTAATTGTAGGTAGGATAGTAGGAACCTAAATTCCCGCATTGTTTACTAATTACCTAACTTCAAACTAACTTTCTTACATTGAGTAACAAAATTGCTTAACTCTCTAGTTGTTATTTCCTTATAACCTGTTGATACTCACAATTCTACAAAAATGTTGAAACCAGACGGCCATGAATGAACTGTCATGCGCAAATGCGCGGCGGGCCGGGTTGTCGGGTGGTGGAGCCTGGTGATGGTCAGAGGCTCAGAGGTGATGGTGGGCCGAGGGTGACGGCAGGTGGGTGATGGCGGCGGCGAGCGCGTGGCGGCGCGCGGCGCATGCGCGGCCCGGGCGCGGAGGGCGCGGGGCTGCGCCGCCAGTATCGACGCGAGAGTCGGGCGCGGCGCGCGCTCCGTCCGCCGCCTTCTACCGCCTCCTTCACGTTCCGAGTTACGTAAAGTGTTACCATGGCGGACTCCGGGCCATCCCTCTGCAGCGTGCTCAGCCCGTGTAAGTGTCCGCCCGGGCCGGCTTCGCTTCGCCCGCTTGTCTCTCCCTGTCGCGACTAACCCGCTAACGCGCAGCCTTCTATTCCAGATGCCTGGTTCGACCCCCAGAGGCTGCACCCCGAAGGTGAGTGGTCGCAGCGGCCGGGGGCAGAAATACGCTTAGGTCGGCGAATCGCCAAGCGGCCGCCCGGGCGCGCTCGCCGCGGCCCTGCGGCCCTGCACTGTGACCCAGTGACCGCTGTGTAAAGCGCATAGTGTTTGTGAGAGCTCAGTGTTGAGTGATCGGCCCGGAGGCCGGAGGTGAGACGTGGACCCTGCAAGGATGCAGCGAGGCTCGAACGCCCCGCACGTTAAGTCTACTACGTGCTGTCGGTGACAGAACAATAATAACTTCGTTATGTGCCAAGTCAAGGTCTGATCGCATGCATGTACGTTCATTAAGATAGTATCGTCACCACGCGCTATTGTCATTCATTTCGCATCACGGTTTGAACCTGCATAGGATGAAAATGTAATTGTTGTGTCCATTCAATTGAGAAAGAGACCAACTGAGTGGATGATATATTTGGCATTTTTCTCCAAGCAACATTTATTTATATGCTGCCAAAATGCAATAACAATCATGATAATCTATCCGCAATGCGAAATGGTTCAAAGTTCGCTTCCATGACCTTACAACAAGTAATGTTACAAAGTTTTGTAAAAAATAACAACCATTGTCATTTTCTACCTACGTCGTCACTTGACTGGTAGCTTATCTTACTAGTCAATTATTATCCGTTTGAATTATTATTGTAGGCCTACAGCGACACGCATGCGCGTTGTCTTTCAACTTGCAGACAAAAACTCTGCCAAGATGAAATTAGACCGATTTTATCTGACATTGAGTCTTGAAGAATGTTGATTTATGGCTTTTAATCATTCCACACAATCATTTATCCCACGCCATGCCCTTATCGGTAATCGATACCAAGTGTTCCAGTAATAATAACGCAAGAGCTCAACATCAGGCTCTGGTTGTTACAAACAACAACTTGGACATGAGCAAATCTAGCAAACGGGCTACGATCGAATTATTATGAGTCATGCTCATGGCCTGTTCTAGGAGCTCCTAATTTAATTAGAGGAGCGCAAACCTTGGAATCTGTTGCACGGCCCATTCTGATTTTGACCAAGTCGCTGATCACTCAGTATCTACATACCTATTCTATATTTCCCACATGCATGAGGTATATTTTGATTTACTTGACATGATCGATATTTCTGAGTTCTGGCACATACATACACTATGCTCTTTTAATTCGGATGAGTGTTACAATTTGTAATAATTAATGCATGCATGATGAATGATGCTGCATGATTAATGTTTTCTAATTTCTGCCTTATTTTGCTTCTCTTCTCTTTTGGTTCTAAACCTATTTAGTTTTTACTTTACGTAGACTTCATGAAGCATTGTACATTTTAACTGCTGTTTTTTTATGAATTTGGTAGGTATTTAAATTTATGTCACGGTTCAGGAGTTGGGACTTGACTAGGAATTCGTTTCGTTTGGAAGGAAAGTGATTGTTTGAATCGAGGTTAGCGGCTAGATTACCCACTTCCCGTGTCGCATTATTACCACGATGCGACAAACTGATAAAGTCAAGACTCAGCAGACGTTCCGATATTTCTACATTTTTCATAAAGATAAAGTCGTCACAAATGTCTCAAGAGCATACTTTTATCTTGTCATTTTCACTTTATGGCGAAATCTGAACGCCTATATTCTCATCGTCTACATAGTCATTCTTTATTATCATACAACCGGAACGTCCGGAACTTTTACTAAATTAATTATTGTTAGTGGATTGACAGCTTTTGGTAGGGATGCTTAAACCTTTGACCCCAATAGAGATCCCATTGGGCATCGCCTTGACCTTGAATTGATTGAATTTGACATCAGGGCATGAAATCTTTAATTTTGTGAAAAATTAACATTCATAAGCTTTTACGACCTAATTAAGCAAGCCTTTTACCACTTACAGAGAGTGTCGTTAAGAGATGGCAGTAGCAATGTCGGTGTGACACGGAAGCCGGCGTTATTTTTACCGCGCTGGCCCGTGTGCCGCCGACCGCGACCTACTGCCTTGCTCGCTTTATTCTTATTGTATTCCTGTTCAACTGTCTAATACATCCGACGTTTCTAAATTCAGTTCCATTACCAGAATTCGCTTTTCTCCTACTGGTCCCCGTTACAGTTTTGTTTGGCCACGTGGCGGCAGTGCGGCACTGGCTTTACGTTGAGGCGCACGTGGTCCCAAGGGCTAGACGCTCTACTAAAATTCACATTTCATATTGTCATTTGTTACATGGGGAGGGTTAGTTCGGCCAATGTTTTGTTTCCCATTAATGTATTTTGACACTGCGGTTTCCCCAAAATCCTTTGTTCAGTTGGAATTCCTGTTGATTGTTGGTTGAGACCTAGAGCTCAGTGGGTGCGTAGGTATATTACTTAAATGTACATATTATGTGCGTGTGCGCTGCATTACAGAGCGCATAATCATAATGTAACCCACCTGACCGGTAGTGGTGCGGTGTAAGTAACCCGATGCACAGCCCGCACTCTGCGATGCAACCTCATAAAAACCAAGGAACTGCACTTGAAGGCTGCGGTTGTGTTGATTGNGTTGATTATTTTCCTAGTAGATACTAATCATACAAACGATCCTAAATACCATACACCTAGGGTTTTTTTTTACCACCACCTTTTTACAGTCTTGTCCGGCCTGTCTGGCTTTTTATGTGGCTGCTGCGCCAGGCGAAAGTCGAGTTACAGAATAATATCAAGCGCACGCATCAAGTAAAACTGAAGCTGAAAAGCACTAGATGGTATCATTTGTCTTGATACAAAGAATAACATTTATTTTCAAGTTATTCTTATTTTATACCTACTTACTTTCACTGTGTTATTTAATTCTCACAACTACACTTTGCATAATGCATGCATGTGTAAAATGAAAGTAAAAATAGATGTTGCAAATTGGTTTCAAAACTAGGTTCAAGTTGTTGTTGCCATTTAAACAAACCTGAATTTATGCAGGATGAGCGAGCAGTTTATTTTCATTAAACATCGAACTTTTTTCTAAACTGGACTGAGGGTACCTCTACCTACCTACATAATTTATTTTGACATTTTGTAGCCTTTGATGCATAAATAATAATAGTAGATTTACTAGCACAGGCACAGATATAATAGTTCCTAGTCTGAAAATAGTTCGAAGAATAAAGTAATACTAGTATTAATTTATTCTGTGGTGATACATTTATGTACTAAATTATCTTGCGGTCAAAGATAAGCTGAACAAACGAGAATGAAAAATAAGTTATATCTAGGTAACTACTCATCAATGACGACTGCAGAAGTGCAGACTGACAATGTCTGACAGCCTAATTTCACATAATCCGCCTATTCAAATTTCTAGTTGGGTCAAAGGTTAACTAGAAGAGAATGCCATAATAATATTATGTGCATTAAGTGTTCTATCGCCTATGTTCATCAGAGATAATGTAGGGTAATGTATAAATGGTGAAAGATTTTTTTGTCCTGTAATTTCGGAGACCATTGCTGCATTGGAGACCCGCATTATTATAAAAGTAAACAGGATCACTGATAAATCTGTAACTAGTAGGTACCTAATTCAAATTAAACATTTTATTGCGAATTATTGAAACCTATTTTAATACATTAACAAAAACTTCATGAAAATTAAGTTGATGATTAGGTAAGTTAGTTGATCAATAGACCAGTGTTAGTAGAATTCGCACATCATACACTACACTTGCCTAATATGGAAATTCAATCTTCTTTTAGTTTAGCTGATATTTCTGTACTAAATGCACTAAATGCCTATAAATAATCTACTGTTGGAGTAGTCTTTTGTACCTATACAGCTTTGTCTTTGTGCTTTGTTTGAATTCCTAATTATTTCTATCCGGGAGTGATCGATAAGACACGGTGGCATTGACCGCGCCGCGCCCGGCCCCCGCGCTGCGCCCGCGCCGCTGCCAACGTAAGTGACCGTGTCTGCAGCATAACGCCTGCCTGTTTATTTTGGCAACGTTATGCATATCGATGATCGATCGGCTCGATTTACTGCCATTGTCATTATGATAGCACGATGGTCCGAACCATTTACTTACTTTCATGTTAGTATAAAATCTCAAATTACGGAATATTTTAAACTTGATTTTTACATTAAACGAATTGGGTTGCCCGGTTGGTATGGTAATTATTCATATACAAAACACCTGAATAACCCTTCCTTTTTGGCTACGTCTCTCGTTTGGTTTTCCATGTTAGCAATATTATCAACGTCCTTATGCCATGATGATTATTATCACTCTCCAAAGATCATAATATCGTTTATAGATAGGTATTTTTTTATTTTTAACAAAAAGCATTCGTGGAAGTTGACATTTAAGCAAAGGCATGCATGCACATAAAACTATTTATCCAGGAATCCAATTTAAGTACCTACCTGCTCTAGCAAGCACGATTTTCTGGGTGTAGTGACGGACGCTTTAAGTACGAGTAGGTACTCGCACATTCCACCAAGTGCCACCAACTGAACTGACTCTGACGTTGAATTCCTTCATGATTTTTGGTTAAGGAATAGGGATCCACACTGCAAAATATCTCCCAGGTGGTGCGTCATCGATCCGGGTTCCGGCCACTCAGTACTTAGTGTCGCATAATTTTGTCGATGAACAACTTCTCGGTGTTTACTGACTTCCAATATGCCATTGGGTTTGGTACCAAGCTGCGCTACAGTGAATTCTTATAGTTGCGTTGATCAAACTAAAAGAGTGTTCTACTACTGGAATACTTTTTCTACAGTCACAGGATCAATATCAAATTGTCATCCCCATACTAAATCATTATTCGGTCCCTTCTGGAAAGTTGTTACATTTGAGCAGTACTTATGTATCTGTTACATAGCTACATGAATCCTTTTAAGAAATTAAAATCCTGTACAACAGTAATAATCATCTATGTAGGGTTACAGGGGGCACAGTGACACACGGGGTACAGTAAAACAAGTTTAATATTTCTACCTCTTTTTATCAATTTATTTTTACTGGCCTCACTGCTTTATTGAGCGTTCGCACTGCCATCATGGTGCAGTTGTCTTTCCTCAATTTGAAAGCTGCCTGTTGAATTATTGCAAAAAAACTGATTTTTGAAAGTAATTCGTATCTTTTTTCACGAAAAAGTTTTCGATTTTATTAGTACACTGTTTACCAAAGGTATGTATGGCTATTTTTTTAATAATTCTTGCATATTTCTTGTAATATTGACATCAGACGAAGGCCGGTGTTTATAACCTAAAGAATGTTATATGTTTTTGTGTTATTGAAGGGGGTCATGGGGTACAGTGAAACGGGGCACAGTAAAACATGTTTCAGTGTAAGATAAGTTTTTGTTTTTTGTTTTTAGAAAACACCACAATGGTTCGTAACCGGAAAAGAAAAACGGATATAGGGCTTCCTAATGAAGCAGATATGAAAGAAGCAGTAGCCTTAGTTGAAGGAGGTAAAACTTAGAGAAGCAGAAAATCTGTAAAATGATAATTTTAGCACATTGTATAGGTATTTCAAGAAAAAAAAAAGAAAACCGAGAAGAAGAGGGACAGGTCGTGCGATATACGCCCAACTACAAAGTGCGAAGAGTGTTTACGGACTGTGCCCCAATCTGTTTCATAGTACCCCTACCCTAGTTTTATTGTACCCCAGATCTGGGGCACAGTACAACAAAAAATTGATCTCGAAAAAGTGCCAATAATTTAAGATTACTTATAGAAACATGTAGTTTGATATTGTTGATTATTAAAGGAATAGCTAATGTACATTTTCTTGAAAAGAGTTTATTAAAATAATGAGATATTTTGTTTCTATGAACAAAAAACGTTTTTTTGTTTCATTGTGCCCCACCTTACCCTATCCCCAAAATCTTCCGAATTGAAAAATAAGTGGTTAGTGCCATAACATTCCACTTACAAGCTGGCCGATAGTTAGCTAAAAGGCAAAACAATGTTTGCTGTCTAAAATAATCACAAATTTTATATAATAAACACCATTGCAACTTACGCTGCTGGGGCTGGCTGGCGGCTTCTGTGCAAAATAGTGAACTCATTCTACTTGAATCCATTCAAAAGTAAGGTACCGACCTAAGTACTTGCTCTGTATCCATAATAAACGAGGTATCGATCGACTCGTCGTCGGAGTTGCTGGAGCGTTACTAGCATTAGATATTAGCCTTTCACTCTTCTTGGATGGATGCGTGCTCTGTGCTAATGAATTACCAACATTAGTCAAGATCATTTTTAGAAACTTGTTTTTAAATTCTAAGGAACATTGTAGGCGTCTGTGGAGACCATAGGGTTATTATTAAAAGCAGTAAATAAATGTTTTAAGATGTTAAAAACTTCCCAGATTGATTTGTAACTTTTGTTCTTACCGAAAACCTTGTCTCTTGTTTAATTGAAAAATAAATAAACGCCTTAAAACATAGTGGGCATCATTCTATCGGAAATTAAGTAAATATCATAGCTCACTTGCCTGCCTCCGTCCATATTCATAATGCAGAGCCCTGTAACTATGTAGGTATTTGTCCAGTTCAGCTTAAGTTAATCTACGGAATATTTTTGTTTCTTTTTGTTTGAAAGCAATCATTGCTCTTGAACATAAGATTGATTGCGGTGATTGAACATCTGGCGGATATTTCAAAGATATCGCTAAATGGTGTTGTATTTATGGAGCACTTGGTAGTTAGTTACTTTAAAACAGTTTCGAGAGCAAAGGAGTTGAGAGAGAGTTGATTGTTGTTTTAATGAAGGTGAATTGCGTTGCGATAACCGAATCGGAGAGTGATAGCGGGCGCGATTGCGATTGTCGTACTCGGTGGCTGCCTCGCGCCGTGTCAGCAGCGCCACCGCGACCGGGTCAGATGACGTGTGTGAAAGGCGGCCGCGTGGCCGAGCGCGGCGCAGCCATGTGCGCGGGCGCAGCTCGGCCACTCCGCCGACATGGCGCGTCCTAAGCAGTCGCCCCGTCACGCCGCGCAATACGAAAACCTCCCGCCCCGCGGTCCAGGTATTCCCATAACATAACTCGCTCTGCCCCGTGCTACAAACTTGTTGAGCTTACGACATTCCGAAGTAACGGTGCAGTGCCGCCGGCCGCTCTCGGAGGGTCTCGAACCCGTGAGACGTGGAACGGAAGAAGCCGCATCGCTGCTAACGTGGAACCAGAGGACCCATATGTAGTGGAATAAATTAGCACAGTGTCAAATGTTCAGTTTATAATTGTTTCTATATGTTCATTCAAATGTTTTGTGTGAAGTTTTAGTTATCATCCACTTCTAATTAATAAGATGCGTTTGTGTTAACAAAGTAGGCTGTGTGTATTTCTTGCAGCCTCTATTCAAACAACGTCGGAGAGATTTGTCGAATTCTGTATCATCTTATTGTTGATCAGGGTAATTAAATTATTATTCACCAAATTTTCACTATTTTTACCTAGTTATGTTGTTTTCAAAAAAAGTTTATAATTTCCAAAACCTACTTTTGCCTTCTGGAAATTTAACTTTATGGTTTTGTTTTCTGGTCCTGGGCTTTTTGATATCGGTAGATTTCATCGAAACTTTCTTTAAGGTTCATCGCGATTGTATTATTATAGTAAATACTAAATCTTAGTGTCGATGCTTCTTCAATCTGCCGTGGTAGATACGTTTACTTTGACATCTGTGGTAAGATAAGAAGCCTATTCAATTTGGAACTTGGACCACCCACTTACTCTCTAGAAAGTCTGAATATTTTTTGTTATTTTCTGTAGGCGTTGAACCAGTGACATAAATGCATTTAGGCTTGTTATACTGTTATTAGTTTTTTGTTCCGCTTATTTTTTTTATTTTCGTATTGCTTTCATATTCCAATTGTAAAATGGGTGTGGCGGTGACGATGTGGTGACAGCAGTACCAGTCAAGCAATTGATTTGTGGTTCTTCTCTGAACATTTGAAGTTCATTCAGTTCTTTGCTAATAAATATCATGCATATCCACTTGGTTTTCTCAAATTAAGTTCTCCGAATTTTCTTCCATGGATTGGTCTCATTCGTTATTTCATCTATCACCGAATTCAGCATCTGAAAATTTAGTATGGTAGTAGTAGGGACTGCTTAGATCATTATGTAATGGCTGGATAGTGTCCACATCCTTTGAGCAGACCTAGGCTGTGAACGTTTCCGCCAGAATAATTTCGCCCAACGAATCTTACAAATAATTTCATTTCTGTATTAAGTAAATAGTGTACCTATTATCGTTTACAGTACATCGACCAGAATAGGTATAATATTGCAATAATATACATATCTATCTGAACGACGTCCACCACGTAGACGTCCACTACCACTACGCTAGTCTAGTGTCTTCCCGTTTCTGCAGGATAAAGTGGAATACGCACTATTTTTACCAATCTTACAATTAATTGCTTGATACACGGTATCAACATTCCGTATATTGTGCTTAATATGTATAAAAAATAAAAGAGTTATACATCACAAGTATATCCACATGTCAGTTGCGCCAGCTTTAGTTTCTTTAGTTTAGAGCGCTTTCACATTTAGGCGATTTAGAAGAGCGACAAACGCGCGACAGACGCACTGCTGCAGCTGTAGCGCTTCTAACGCCCTAATGTGGAAGCGCTCTTAGTGTGTCGCAGTCAGTATTCCGTCGCCTTATGCCCGTTTTCACCATCAATCCCTAATTTTTAAGTGACCCCTATGACAACAAAATTCCTGTTATTTGTTACTATAGGGGTCACCTAAAAATTAGGGATTGATGGTGAAAACGGGCATTAGTGTCTTAAAGACGGTAGAGTTGTAGAGAGTGTAGTGGAGTGGAGACTGACCGTGCGGTTTGTGCGCAGTGGAGTCGCTGATCTACTGGCGCGTGGCGGCGCGGTCGGGCGCGGCGCTGGGCGCGGGGCTGGCGCTGCTGGTGGCGCTGGCGTGCTGCAGCGTGGTGTCGGTGCTGGCCTACGGCTCGCTGCTGGCGCTGTCCGCCGCCGTCGCCTTCCGCATCTACAAGAACGTGCTGCAGGCCGTGCAGAAGACCAATGATGGACACCCATTCAAGTCAGTATTACCTACGACACTTACTTCCATGATTTGTGAAACTGAGAGCAACCGGGTCTCAAACACTATATTTATTATGTACCCACCTACTTAGTAGGTACGCGAGTACTTACAGCATGACGTTTCGGCTGTGTTGTTGTTGTTTGGTCACAAGCAGACTCCCTTGCTGTCGCATTTTAAGACCCGATGTTCTCAGTTTCGTACACTACACATTCCATAATCATAAGAACCAATGGCAATCATACGTAATTTTATTATGACTATAGAATGTACATGCTCACCGAGCTGAAGACCTGTAATAATACTCCTTTGTTAGTTCCGGCATCGCGAGCCATGGTCCCGCCCGGCGATGCTGTAATTTATGGAAAGTAAGCCAGCTGCTGCGCAACCAAACCACTTTCACTCTCGAAGCAACATCAAATTCACGAAAACCAGTTATCCTCCCGTATAAAATATCGTCTGCTATCTCAGACGATGTAACTTATGCCCTTTTTTATTCCAAGTTACCAAGATTTATGTTGACAATTCATTATGAGGTTGTTCCACTTGTAGTGTGCTCTTTCGATTATGAATTTTCTACACTTTGGTTTCTGCATAGATAGAAATTGCGTTTAGGTTCTAATGTAAATTTAAAACATGTGACATTTTCCTTCTTGAAGGTTCAGTTATTATGTATTGTCTTAGCCTTTTAGAAGTGCATAGAATAACTGCGGTGAATTCCGAGATGATCCTTGTTTCATTAATTTATAAACGCTGATAACTTCATTATCGCATTTTTCCGAGTAGCGCGTCATGCAGTGTTTGAACAGTCTGTCGCTAAATATACGCAAAGTTTCCATCCGTACAATAAATGAAAGACATTTCAATAATTTATTAGCGTGCCAAGTGTCTACTTTAAGCGAGCGTACTAGCTTTACTATCGTCTAATTTTAGTACCTGCTAATTGATTGGATGTGGATACATTTAGCACTTATAATTATCAATTAGTACATAACGAGATTGAAGTAAAAATCTGCTTAGTAAAATATGTAATAATATTAGTTTAACATCATTGATTTGAGTCAAAGGCGACATCTTTACATTTGCTAGTCATACTAGGTACATGTGCCTGCTAAATGCTATTGATTTTTTTACATTACAGTACGAATTGACGGATGTAATATCCCCATTTCCCCAAAATGTTTCACACTGTTCATTCCCCAAGGATTCATGATTACAGACATGATCGAGCAAATTGCCGATTCAAAACCACGGAATAGGCTCACATTTCAGCTTTGATCGCACTGACGTAGTCAATGACTTAGTTATTGTGTAAACTAATGAGGGTCCCGCTTGTTCCGCAGATGGCTCCTGGAGAAGGACATCAGCGTGCCGGCCGAGCGCGCGCAGTCGCTGGCGGCCGCCGCCACCGCGCACCTCAACGCTGCTCTCAACGAGCTGCGCAGGTATTTATTTATTTATTTACTGGGCTATCAACATGAGATACAGTATTAAACACAGCAATGAAAATTAAGCCAAAGGTCTAGCTACGAATGATAACCGATAACCACAACATTGTGTTCACTTATCTTACATACACTATCTATGTCAAGTATCTATGTCATATCTATGTCAAGGGATTCTCAGATCTTAGCTGCATATTCGCAGCTATACGCGAATGCTTTACCCCCTCTAGTATTACTAGAGGGCGCTTGGCATTAACCTAGTGAAAGCTTGCACACGGGCGTTACGTATGATAGGTTAGAGACGCCTCATAAGGATCTCTGGTCAAGTGGACTTAGGGGTTTTTTGTGAAAAAAAGCTTCTGTTATGCGTTAAACGATTGCCTTGGGAAAGCCAAAACGTTCATGGCCATGTGCGTCATGGTGCCTGAAAACTGCTGCGTTACATACGTAAGCGTTCAAGTGTAGTCTGCTAACAGTAGACAAACATTAAATTGGAATTAATGGGCGTGTGTGGATTTGTTTTGGTTTTTCAGGCTTTAAAATTGTCTAATTATATGCTGTTAAATACAGAATGGTCTGAGCTTAAAGTTGCCAAACCTTTGGTTTTAATGTCTTGCATTAGGGTCCTAAGTTGGGTTGCACCATCTTACTTTAACAAACTTGTCAAACTACACAAAAAACACCGATTAACGCGTATAGTAGTAGTATAGTTACGATTAAAGTTAGATGGTTCAACTCAACTTTAGTCAAGTCTTTCATTTCATTAATCTTTGTTATTAAATACTTTAAATAACTAGTATAGAAGATTTATTACAGCTCAGAATTTGACTACCGTCTTCTACACGGACTTATAATATCTATCTCTATAGTCTACCAAACTAATCCAATTTCTGACTTACGCGAAACTGATCTCGGAATTAAACCCACTAACCTGCTATAAATATCTTCGAGTCATAATGGTATAGGTGACATCATACATGTAAAGCGTCTATTTCATTTCTAAGTCACGGTCATGGGCGTGAATTCTTTTTTCGTTAACAGGTTTTAAAATGTGCTTTACAATATTTTTATTTTAGCTACCAGTCGACAAACGAACGAAATATCAACAAAATAATAACTATCCAAGTGTTGAAGTGTCTAGTAAGAATATTCTTGTTTCTTTTATTTATATTAATAAGGTACTTAGCTAATTATTACGTAAAATTTACGTTCGTATTTAATAAATGTAATTATACATGTACCTGTCAATCGCGGATTGTTATTCTCTACCAAATTAATAACTAAAAATCTGTTTTAAAAAAATATGACACTTGATCCATGATTAATCAAACCTGTTGATTGAAACCTGATTAAGAAATAAACGAAATCGATCTGTTAAAACCAACCTAGTGCATCGAACTGAAGGAAAATGATGACCTCTGTGTCGTAAAAGTTAAAATGAACCCTCATTGATGACGCGGTGTGTTCGTTCCAGGCTATTCCTGGTGGAAGACCTGGTTGACTCGCTGAAGTTCGGCGTGCTGCTGTGGTGCCTGACGTACGTGGGCGCGTGCTTCAACGGCATCACGCTCATCATTCTCGGTGAGTGCTCGTGGCTCTGTGCTCATGGCTCCGTGCCCATGGCTCCGTGCTCGTGGCTCCGTGCCCGCGGCTCCGTGCTCTAGCGAGTGCAGGCGGACCTTGCTTTCATCTACAGTTTGGACAGTGAAAGTGAAAGAAACCATTTACTGAATGCTTAAGTTTGGTGAGGACACATTACAACACTATTGAATTACCCAAATGTTTCGAACTGCCTTTATTGTGATTAATCCTTGCTTGGGTCCGAAGGCACATTAAAACCAGCTATTCGATCATATTTTATATGCAAGACTTATGCAAATGTGGACAGTGATACCCGTAATCTCGCTGTTTGTCTAAAATGTGTTTGTTTACCAGACTGGTATGACTCCTCGGACAACGACAAACATGTTGTTCTCATAAAGTTATCTGAAGTTTTTAGAGTACATAATTTGTTATTGATCCTCTGTAAAAGCATGTTTGTGAATCATTTTATAAAATCAATATTCAATATCGTAGATAAGTTCGATTTAAAGCTCTTTATATAAATACCAATAATAAATGTCTCGGTGACCTTGGTCATGCAAAGTATTGCAAAGTCGCACCTGTGGATTGTTCTCATTGTTACGTGTGTGTTAACGTGAAAACGCGAGGCGTACGATGCATGAGAGTGCGTTATCCTGGCAGAATGTTGTCTCCTTTCAAAAATCGAATGATGCAGTTAATTCGAGCCCTATTTGGTGTAAATGTGCCCGAAATTTTAAATTTGAGCCCTCAGCCGTTCCAGCAAGTAGGTATTAAAAAAAACGGATTCTGCCAAGATAACGTTATCCTGGCTACAATATTTTTACCCGTTGGGTCTAGGTGGAATATCCGCATAATGTTTTTTTAACCCTTAATTTGACGACGTGCAATATACTTCCCATTGAACGAAATAAAATTTATATAAAAAAAAAAAACCGTAAATCTTGAACTCAAGGTGTTCGTTGGCTCCCTAAACTAGTTATGTAACTATGCTGCCAAAAATCAGCAAGGCACCAATATCGATAGGACGCGAGCTCACCTATTAGTTACAATATGCTTTAAAATTTTTGTATGATCATATGATTAATTAATGTGAGATACTAACTGGCACTGATAAGAACTTTTTCTAGGTACCTTAGTTTTAGAAATAGCGCATATTTTTGTTTTTAAGAAAATAATTTCCAGCCAATAATTTGGACGAAAATTTGGGCACAATTTTTCATTCCTACACACATAAAAAAAATTCGTACCTGTATGTTCAACCGTTTCAGAGATCCAGCATATGACTAAATGTTATCCTGACATAAACTCAAATAAATCCGAAACCTGAGGGGGGCTCAAATTTTATTTTTGGGGCATAATCGGGCTCGAATATAAGCTATGTAATGGTATACTTTTCATCCACCTAGAACCAACAGGTAAAAATGATGTAGCCAGGATAACGTTATCCTGGCAGAATCCGTTTTTCTTGAATATGCTGGAACAGCTGACTTACTTTTACTTATGGTCCTATGTCCCCTAGATGGGGCAGAGGGCGTCCACAACAGTCCTCCATCGCGTTCGGTCTTGAGCTATGTGTTTGATCTCGCTCCAAGTCTTGCCGATCTTCTTCGCCTCGTCTGCCACAGTGCGCCGCCAAGTTTGCTTGGGGCGACCACGTTTGCGTTTTCCTTGGGGGTTCCAATCCAGAGCCTGCTTGCGGATGTGATCGGGATCCCTTCGGAGAGTGTGGCCAATCCAGTTCCACTTGCGGCGGAACTGGAACAGCTGAGGGCTTGAATTTATAATTTCGGACACATTTACACCAGATAGGGCTCGAATTAACTGCATCATTAGATTTTTGAAAGGAGAGAACATTTTGCCAGGATAACGCACTCGATGCATGACCCACGAATCTCTGCTTTCCAGAAATTTTCTTGGTCTCGGACTTTCAGGACCCAAGTTACGTTACCTACCATTATGAACATAAATAAAAAATATTTATTTCTATAAACTATTGTACAATTTGTTGCCGAGTCTTCCCAGTAGAGATGAGACGTATTTACTAGAACAGATCCACACACTAGGTATTTTACAGTACTAAGCGGCACCTATTCCAATTTTTTAAATACTTGATCCACCTAGTATTTTTTAAATTACACGATTTCCGACCCTACCATCAAAGTAATAGAGGTTATTATTGCGTAATCCGTAGTCGCGTATTACGCGTACCGAGTATTTCTCGCTAAGCTTATGTGCGAACGTAGAGATTCACTCCGTCTCTGTCTGACCAAACAAATTTGAGCGCGACGAAGCAAACGCACACAAACGTAGTCAAACCATATTCATGTAAATTCATGTAAAAAAGAAAAAAAAATCTAAATATTTTACTGAAATTGATATTCATCTTTTAAATACGCCAACTTTTAAGTTGACAGTCCTAAGCCTGTTGAAGTATGAAGGGAGGAATTATTACTCAATTTCAAGTTGCATTATTCATACTACGGTTGTATCTTTTCAAAGAAAATTGTATTTTAAAGTCATATTACGTGGATTAGTCCGCACTAGTCGCGTCAAGTATGCTAAATTATTACATACTAGGTGGAATAGGTATTTGGATCGAGTATTAATAAATACTAGGAATAGGTGCACCTAGTATCAAATTTACCTAGTATAACCCATCTCTACTTCCCAGTAATGAGTAAGTCGTCAAAGACACTTAAGTGTATTGGGATTGGGAATAATTCACTACTTGCTTATTTTGGGACTAGAGGCGCAGTGTAAAATGTCCAAGGATATTTATTTATTTGCGAGATCCCACACCATCCATACACCTGTAAGGTGAAAAGTTATTGCATTTGAGCAGTACAAGCTGTACATATAACGGTTGCCTTAAAACTACACCGTCTCCGAGAGATATACCCACTAACCGACGGCTTGCACTTGCAGGGTGGATAGCGCTGTTCACGCTGCCCAAGGCGTACGAGATGAACAAGCCGCAGGTGGACGCCAACCTGGAGCTGGCGCGCGCCAAGATCGACGAGATCTCCGCCAAGTGAGTTCCTTATGTAATACCTTATGTAGTACGCGCGGTTCTTTATGTAACCTATTCTTTTTATGATATTTTGACAGATAATTACTATAAAACTCGCCTATCTTTGGCCGATTGAATTGGGTTTGAGAATATTAGGGTCAAGAGGGGAGTGGGAACGTATGCGGTAAGTAATCGTTTAAAATAATGTGTGACGCTGTGTGTTGCAGAGTGCGGGCGGTGGTGCCGCTGGGCAGGAAGACGGAGAGCGAGAAGGACAAGTAGGGCGTGCGAGCGAGACAGCAGCCGGCGAAGCCGCAGCCGGACTTCACTCACTGTTTGTTATATTTATTATTATTGTACTATTAAATAAAGATACTACTTTACGTGTAAAGCTTTATGAGACGAGTCATGCGGAGATTATTGTATTTGCTTTTTGAAATTTTAAATTAAAATAACTGTCGAACCCATCTGTGTTTCATTGTGCGAACGATCATGTCGGAACTTCCAAAGTCGACGAAATGTGTTGCTATTGTATCACTCGAAGAAAGTATTGTAACGTCTTATTTGAAGGTACTACCGTTCTAATCATAATTAAATAAATTGTGTCACAATAATACGTAAGAGCAAGTGAAACTTCTTTGCGTATCGATCCTAAGGCCCTTTTCACACGTCCCGGTTGCCGGCTAACCGGCGCCGGGTATCCGGTGGTGAAGTGTATGGGCATGGTACGTAGCTTTTTTCACATGTTCCGGCGTAATTATTTTAATCCGACACTTCACGACCGGGTACCCGGCGCCGGTTAGCCGGCAACCGGGACGTGTGAAAAGGGCCTAACTGGGAGAGTGGGAGATGCACTTTTAAATTAATAAAATCACTTGCATTGCACTAAATATAATAAAGTATATCTTGTTTACAGGGTGATTGGGGTATACTCTCAGGGGTTATACATACTAGAGGTCATTAGTAACAAATTAACGCCCGTATTCACAAACATTACTATGAGGTCTCCCAGTGCGCGTGGACGCACAGGGTGACACATGAACCAATCACAGAGCTCCATTCAACGCTGTGCGTTCGATTTGCTGTTTCACTTAAGCAAGCATCGTTTGTAAATACGGGCATAAGTCCAGATAACCAGGGGTTGAAACTAGATGGATCGAGCTCGTGACGGTTTCTTCGATTTTTTAGAAAAAAATGTGTTAATGTGTATAAACTTCGCCACCCTAAACATTAAATTGATACTTTTCTGAAAGCCCTACCGATTCAAAGATACTTTAATTGTGACACCCTGTATAATCATTATGTAATATAATATTTTGCCCACACAGGATGGTTATATTCTCTAAGTTTTTGCTTAAATTTTAATACGAAATCTAGCAGAAACCATCAAAAAAGTTACGCAATGAGAGTTGAGGGGGCTTTATTAATCCATGCCTGTAGTCTAGATATCAACGAGTCACTTTAATTGTTTACTGTGCAATTTTGTATACCTATTTTTGTAAGATACACCATACAAGAATGCGTGATAAATTCAGAGAACTACTCCGTTTTCTATTTATTTCAACCAGTAGACAGTGGTGACTGAGTCTGTGTTGCGGCGCTTTTTCTCAGCACTTTGCACGCAGCCAAATGTTGGTCTCGAAGCGCAAAGCACAACTTGGTAACAGTGCCGGATTAAGCCAGCGCGGGGCCTGTAGCAAATTTCTATCAAGGGGCCCTTGGTTTGCTTTAGGTTCTCAAGTTTAGGGTATTAAATGAAACAAAACTGTTACAAATGAACTTTTCTTGATTTAATGTGTGCAAATTTAGAGATAACACTTTCAATATCAACTTCTTTAAGCAAATCATGCTCTATATTCAACAAAGTAAAATGATTAAGACGTTCTTGTCCCATCGTGTTCCTTAATTCATCTATCTACAGGGTGGAAACGATAAGTGATCTCACGCGATTATTTCTAAACTATACGAGATATCGAAAAACTGGTTATTGATCCTGAAAGTGCTTCATGAGCTCTTTCCAATATAGTACGAGAGCCCACGACCAAAACCATGTCTCATAGCAATACGGCAAAAACCCTATAAAATCGTTAGATTGTATGATTCTGAACCCGACTAGGTGTGTAGTAACGGTCGAAAGTGTAGCAACTGCGTTTCTGCTGTTTCAAAAAAAAAAAGAACAGTCGGTATTATAGCAATACGTCTGATAGTGAAAATGTACATAGATTTTATAATTGTATTACGAAAAAGTTTGTTTTCAGACATTTTGCGCGTAGCATATAGCCTGAGCGAATTTTTGAAAATGTCAACAAATTTAGCCGACCTGTATACCTTTACGGGTTTGCACTACACCACTAACGTCTGAAAAATATGTTTCCGGTATCTCAGAACTATCATTCAACTACAGTCTGCAAATCAGACATATTGCTATGATGCAGTTCGGTAAAATTCTTTGACAATTCGGTCAGATCAAACGCTACGCGGAAAATGTCTGATATTGTTTTTTTCGAGTTCAGGATAATCGTATCTATCGATTTGATGCGGTTTTGGCCGTATTGCTATGAGACAAAAATTTTGGTCGTGGGCTCTCGTACTAACTATGAAAATTAGCTGTGGTTTGTTTCAACTACCTATTTTAAAGTTTTTTGTCACTTTGTAAGTGTTCAATTTTATGGAATTGGGAAAGAAGTACCGAGTTTGAAGCGTTCATGAGCAGACATTGCAGTTGAATATTCAAGTTCTGAATTTGATTATTGATGAATAATAAAATAAATCCTACTAGCTCGATTGATGGTTTCACTTAATTTATTTAAACCAGGCTACCTATAATAATATTTTTTCGTTAATTTATGAAAATATCAAATTAGCCCGTAATCCTGAATCCTGATACATAAAGTTAGCCTATTAATTTAACACAGGTACGACTGTACTCAGTGTTGCACTATCAAATGCAATTGACGCGCCTCTATGCCAGGGTTTTTATGTTCCTGGTCAGGCTATAATTTAAAATTAATTAAGTTTTTAAGACCAGAATGAAGGGTCTTTTTAAAAAAGATGTGGTTTCCAATTATTGGGGTATGGTGTCAAACTGTGTACTTATTGTCATTATTCCCGTTTCTAACTTATTCATCGTTGAAACTATCTAACTTAATCTTTTTTTATTTCGGTCAGACCGGCGCTGGAGCGCGGGGCCCCCAAATTCGCGGGGCCCGTAGCATTTGCTACTCTTGCTACGTGGCTAATCCGGCACTGCTTGGTAAGTCGATGTCGTGTCGCTTGCTCGTCGTATATTCCCACATGATACCAATACCCACCACAACACGTATTAATACACGATACAACACTTAGACACGACGATACAAATAGTAAGATCACGGTGTAAGATGTAAGATGTGACGTCGCCGTCGTATCATGTAATCGTGATTATGTGTGTACGAGCCCTTAGGTTCTCGACATATTAATATTAGCGCCATCTATACTGACTGTGCATCTGTTGCTGCTATTACACTATGCGGAAATTAGCCAAGTCAAGTCAAAAAACAGTGAAGTGGGGATGTTATGAATGAATTTCATATTAATTTCCGCGCAGTGTAAACGCAGCATGTGGTTACTCGAAGAATCACAGATTAGAGCGAAGAATCAAGCACTCTAATCCATATCTGTGATCAAGCATCTTTATTTTGTCATTAACGTAACGTCACTGTCAGTTGTCTAATCAGTAGACAGTGACAGGTGACAGATCAGCTGGAAATAACAAACTGTCACTACATGTAGGATAGTTTGGTAATTTCGTCATCTGTAGACGAATTTAATATGAAAAAATTACTGCAATATCACATATTAAAATCGTATAAAGTTCTGAGAAAGTTACAGTGAATTTTCTGCCAATGTGTTCATAGTATAGGTAAAATTCTCAACTTAGAATCTCAAATAATTATTGTTAAGAGTAAAGATTTTATTGCAATTAATAACTTATTTGATATACTACAATAATTCATACGTGATGGCGGATATTACAAGGTCAGTAAATTCTCTCTTCGCTTGTATACCCTCGTGTACTTTGTCCTAGCGCGGTTAAAAAGTTGGTTAAAGATTAGTTACGTCAACAGCCAATCGTCGCGATGTGTGCTGTCCAGATAGTGCAATGCTTTATTTATTGTGGTTTCAGGTTGTAGCTCACCATTGCAACTTGTTCTCACTGCAGAGCACCTGGGCCTTCCTGTAGGTAGTTAATTTCTTGATAATTCTTATTAACTTAATTATAATACTTTATGCCACTAATTAGTCATCATACTGTTGCTAATTCGGAAGATTTTGCACAGCGGGTATATAGTCGTGCTATTATCATTGTTCAATTGTAATTCCCAATCACCCCAGATCTCATTAACTGCCAATTGGTTTCAATTATAGCAGACAGATTCAAAGCAGACATTTCATTTAGTAGGTAACTTCGTCATCCATAATATGTTTTGTTATTAAAAAAACATTGTCACTGTATGCCATTAGTTATCAATATTATATTATGGAAAAATTATGTGCATACATTATTTCTTGCTGAACAAGTTATCTTTAAAACAATTTATAATTGTTAAAAAAGTGTATTGTTACTTAATAAAACTTTTTAAGCTTTTTATATATTATATATTATATTATTAACTAAAGAGTTGTGTAAATTTACAGTAGGTACATCACAGACCATCATTGGCTCTTGGAGTATTAGTCTTTATAATAAGCTATAAAAATATCAGTCAGCATGTAACAACGGAGTAGAATTGCAGTCATAACTGTTGCTCAGCTCAAATTTCATTTATTACAAAATTGCATGTCACTTCTAAATAAACAGTGATTTACAGTTTGGTAAGTCTTTTTTACTAACAATTTTCACGTTTTCGTGTCAATAACACTAATTTAGTTCATTTTCGTGAAAGACTGCTTTTTTCATTGCTTCATTCCATGTAACATTGTTAAAACATGCACTTATCATAACTATCCCGAATATAGCATAAATATTATTAATGTAAGATTTACTTTAAAATAGTTAAACATTTAATGAAACAGTTACAACTGTTATTGTGTGTAACATTAACTTGAGGTGTTTTTCAAAATTGTTTATTGGTTCGGATATTGTTACATGGTATGGCTTGTGTAGTGACTTTTGTGTCCCGACGACAATAAAAGTCGTCGTGAGGTGTGTCGTACTGTCGTGCATTGTGCTAACGTGTGCGGGTGCGGTAGGTGGGGACGGATGGCGGCCGGCGCGCCGCTCGCCTCGCGCTGCCGCCAGGAATGACGCTACCAGCCCGGTAGGTACATCTCCATGCACTTAACATGATCCAAATTTGCGCAATAATGAGACCCTGTATTTGAAAGAAAGAAAGAAAGAAAGAAAAAAACATTTATTTGGTACCAAAAAATTAAACAATAAGTACAATCAACTTAAAAAGCAAAATACATTGTACCAAATTGGTCTCTGCTCAGTATGAGGTCATAACGTACTGAAGAGCACGTTACGGCCACTGGTATTCTGCAGAAACCATGAAAGAGGGGTGCGTGGCCCACAGCAAACGTTACAACTTACTACAAAATTTGACAAATAGAAGAAAATAAGTAAGTGTGCATTAATTTGTGCTATTGAGCACCTTATAATTATGATGATAATCTAAGATGATGATGATGATGATGATATCTTTCAAATGATTACTGCGTTTAAGACAAACTTCAATGTGGTCTTATTATTGCGCAAATTACAGGTAACAGCGGGTGCAATAGCATTTTCCACGATAGTTTTATCAACCGCTGTCTTCATCACTTACCTACATTCATTGTTATTTCATAAAAAATCATTTTGTCAATTAATTTCATCTGTTCAGCAAGGTGTGGTGCGATCATAAAGCGGAAACTGGAAACTAGACATTCGCTTTCACGCCTATTGTAACCGAATCGCCTCGCACTTTGGGAAAACTTGGGTTTAATTTGGGTAGAATTTATAATCTTAAGAACTTATCAGTTTTGTCGTGAGCTCGTTTAGCTGGATGTGACGAATCTTGGTTAGTTAAGAAATTCGCGCATTAAGCGCATTATGAAATTCGCGTACTATCAGCGTTTCGCAATTGGTAAAATGCATAGGTTTTTGTTATTTCAAGTACTTTTTAGGAAGAGTAAACAAATTTTAATACTCGTCCTTACTGCCATAATAGCCATAATTGCAATTGCATAGTTTTTTTGTATTTCGAAAGCAGCTCGTTACTAATATTATAATAATAAAATTACTACTTAGATACCTACCTACTAAGGATTAGCATCACAAATCTATATCTATCTATTATATAAAAGAAAGTCGTGTTAGTTACTCCACTTATAACTCAAGAACGGCTGAACTGATTTAGCTGAAAATTGTCAGGGAGGTAGTTTAGAGCCAGGAAAAGGACATAGGATACTTTTTATCCCGTTATTTATTGCCATTAAGGCGGAACAAAGTTCGCCGGGTCAGCTAGTTCATGATAATTCAGTAAAACAATAAGTCTGCTATATGGAACTTATTTTATTGACTACAGTACGTTATCTGACGTATTGTCTTGATTAGCTTGATAATTTTACTTACAATACGACTGTTTCCAAACATGCCAGACTTAATATTTTTTATTATCTACGTAGTTTTTATCTTTACCAAGATATTCATCCACGATGACCCAAACAAGTGTTTCACGTGACTGGCATATGAATATTCAATATAACTGCCTTTTTATTTAACAGATGTAGCCAAGATAAACCTTCAAATGGTTTAATTCTATATCTAAACATCTGGAAGTGCGTACAGCCCTGAAACGGGCCACACCAACCTAATTTAGAATATTAATAAATAATAACAATTCGCTAATGTATGCCTCTCTCCGACTCACCGCTGCAGAGCGCACGAGGACAAGGAATACTCCCCGTGCCTGGGCGACGGAGACGGCGCCGACCGAGTCGAGATGTTCGGCGTCAAGCGGCGCGTCGCGCTGGACGCGCTCATGGCGTGCTGGGGGCTGGGCACGTGGCTCGGCGTCAACGGGCTGTACGTGCAGCTGCCGCTGCTGGTGGAGCGCCTGCCCGAGGGCTGGGCGCTGCCCTCCTCCATGACCGTGGCCATCGCCGCCGCCAACGTCGGCCTGCTGCTGTACGCGCTGCTGCGGCGCGCGCGCGTGCCCGACTCCGCCTGCATCCACGCGCTGCTGCTCGTGGGGCTGGCCGCGCTCGTGCTCAACGCCTTCCTCTACGCCGAGACCGCCACCGTGCGCGGCGGCGAGCGCTCCGTCGCCTTCCTCGCGCTCACCTTCTGCACCGGGCTCGTCGGCTGCACCAGCTCGGTGCTGTTCTACCCGTATCTGAGACACTTCCGGGACATATACCTGACGACGTACCTCGTGGGGGAGGGCCTCAGCGGCTTCGTCCCGAGCGTGCTGGCGCTGATCCAGGGCGTGGGCGGGGAGCCCGACTGCGTGCCGTCGGCGGACAACGCGACGCTGGTGGCCGTGTACCCGCCGCCGCGCTTCGGCACCACGGCCTTCGTCCTGATGCTGGCCGCGCTGGCCGCGCTCAGCCTCGTCAGCTTCGCGCTCGTGGACCGCTGGCCCGCCTTCAGCGANTTCGGCGCCGAGCGCGTGGCGCCCGCGGCCGTGGCCAAGGACGACGAGGCGGAGACGCGGCGCGAGTCGCTGCTGACGCCGCGCTGGCTGGGCGTGCTGGCGCTGATGGCGGCGCTCAACGCGCTCATGAACGGCGTGCTGCCGTCCGTGCAGTCGTACTCGTGCATGCCGTACGGCGCGCAGACGTACCACCTGGCGGTGACGCTGAGCACCATGGCCAACCCGCTGGCGTGCCTGGCGGGCGTGTGGCTGCGCCCGCTGCCGGCCGCCGCGCTGGGCGCCGCGCTGGCCGCCGCCGCGCTGCCGCTCGCCTACATCCTGGCCACGGCGCTGCTCAGTCCGGCGCCGCCGCTGCTCAACACGGCTGGCGGAGAATTTCTTATTGTGAGTTTCCTTCCTGATGACGTCCAGTTCGCTTCCTAAGTAGCGCTTTTGTATAATCGAACACATTGTATGTACTTTGATCGCCATGTCGATCTAATCCATTCTGCCCTACACGTTCGACACGCAACGGTGGCAGGGTGGGTTAGAGTCGGTGGCGCTGATCCCTGATGGCGGGCGGGCGCAGGTGGCGTCGTGGGTGGCGGCGCTGGGCGTGGTGTCGTACGCGCGCATGTGGGTGTACGGCTGGGCGCGGCGCGGCGGCGCGCGGGGCATGCGCGCGGTGGGCGCGGCCACGCAGGCGGGCTCCACGGCCGGCTCCGTGGCGCTGTTCGCCGTCGTCAACTACACCGGCGCCTTCACGCAGGCCCCCGCCTGCCCGCCGGCCCCGATGTAGTGCCCGAACTCGCGAGAGGCTCCAATTAGTGAGTGTACACAAATTATACATTGGACTTTATTTCACAGTGTTCGCTCTAAGGCCGCCAATACACGGACCGCTTGAAGCGGTCAGGGTCGGCAGCTTCAAGCTGCGACTGCACAGTGAACTGCAGAGTTCTATGAACGCACTTACACGAACCGCTCGAGCGGTTGCAACTGATTCGGGCGGTCGACAGCACGGTGAATTTCCATCGTGCGTGCCATCAAGCAGTCGCCAGCCATACACTGACTGCTCGAGCTGTCGACAGCTCTCGCGCAGTTACCTCGGCCCACTTTCTTCATTCCACGGCGCGCGCGCTTGTGATTTGTTGAGCAGTTAATACCAACTGCTGTTGACTCTTGACTACAAGAGTGGTCCGTGTATGTTGATCATTGACTAACTGCTCGAGCTGTCCGTGTATAGCGGGCCTAAGATTCAGTATTTCTTAATCGGACACCTATTTTTTAACTGATGAATAAAATAGACATATTAGTTAGATTCTGACCTTGTCAAGGTATCGATAGAGGTTTGAGGCGTTTTTCGAACACTTTATCGAGTCTTCAATTATTCTCATGTTTCTTTTACTCGATCCTTAAGATCTTATCAGATTGTTTGGTTATCAAAGTTTTGTAATTGGTTCCTTATTGCATTGTATTAACTGAGCATGTGTGCGGTGCGGGTAGTTTGGAAGCTATCGCAGTTATATGTATAGAAGAACTGGTTTATGACGGGTGCTGTTGTGTTGAAGGAGAGAGTAGTGAGTACTTAATTGCACGTTTGGTTGCATGACATAGCACTCAGATGCTTGACCAAAAAGACTATTTATTGTTAAAGAAATATAGAGACTGTTGAATTTATACCTGAAGTTTTATTATTGGTCCCTCATTATTACTATCCGCGTCAAACGGCAGGTTGCATCAGGCCTCCGTCACTCGCCTATGCCGGCCGAGATAATTTTACCTACAGCGCGCGACAACTCAGAGTTGCAAATCAGTCGGGGCCGCCACGCGCCTGTGAGTACACGCGTACCTACCTATACACGCTCGGTCGTGACCATCAAAATGGCGGGATCAAACACGGAATCCAGATAATTTTGATACTTATTTAAACTACCTAATTTCTACTATTTCCTACCTTCGGTGAAATAATTGCTACCTTGATATTTGTAAAGTTATTTATAAGCTAAATTATCTGATCTCGCTTTCTTGATATCAAAATAGCGGGACCAAACTAAACCATTCGCTGCTTTAAGCACATTTGATTTCAATATTTACTTCCTCTTTCCTACCTACACGACATATATGTACATACTACAAATAATTTTAAAGTTATGAAATATAAATTGTGGTCTCGCCATTTTGACGACCTGATTTTATCAAAAGAACAATTAGTTAATATTATATTCTAATAATAGTTATAATATACCTACTACCGAAATTCTACTTTACTGTACACTAATTAAATAGCAATAATGTTTACGATAATGATGCAGGAAAATGTATTGTTACTCAATTAGTTCACTTATCATTTATTGAAATATTTGTGATTTATTACTAATCGAAATATTATACAGGGTGTTTGGCGGAAGGTTAGACAAACTTCGTGGGTGTATAATATGTAGGTAAGGTCATTTTAAGAATACATGTTCGCCCATTTGACCCTGAGGCCCAGAACGCAATTGCAACGAAACTGCAACTTCTAGTTACTTTTGAGTTGCATCTAAGTTTCTGCCATAGATTCCGTTGAGAGACCACACATGACGCGACCATTTCAAACCGGTTTCAAACTGGTTCGTTGCAATTGCGTTTCACCGTGTGTTCTGGGCCTAAGTGAGCTACTTTTTTTTAAATTGATATTTTTGTTTTTATTATTTTTTTTTCCGAAAGAAGAACGGTCACGCTCCTTACGAAAAAAACCCAGGCCCGACAGAAATGAGACATACCTCAGTTTTTTGTCATATCTTAATTAGTTAAATTATGTATTTTTTATATTCGAAATCTATGTTTGACATCAAAATATTGCCCTTTGTTTTTGTTCCGGCGTTACACAAAAACTAATACAAAATGCCTATTTATTACCAAAATTCGTAAATGTACCTATGTACCTAAATGTCTATACAGTTGCTATGAAATGTATCTAGGTGACCTGGAGATACAACCGGATTATACAGGGTGGAAACGATAAGTGATCTCACTCGATTATTTCTAAACTATACAAGATATTAAAAAACTAGTTAATGATCCTGAAAGTGCTTCATAAGCTCTGTACCAAATGGTATCAATACTAATAAGTTACAGAATAAACTGGATCTATCAAAAAATTCAATGTTACCAGCGTCCATAATTCTGTAACCTATTATTGGTACCATTTGAAAGAGCTCGTGAAGCACTTTCAGAATCAGTAACTAGTTTTTCGATATCTTGTATAGTTTAGAAATAATCGAGTGAGATCACTTATCGTTTCCACCCTGTATAACCCGGCTGTATCTCCAGGTCACCTAGATACATTGCATAGTAGCTGTAATAGACATTTAGGTACATACATTGTTGATAAATAGGCATTTTGTATTAGTTTTTGTGAACGCCTGAACAAAAACAAAGGGTAATTATAATATTTTGATGTTAAACATAGATTTCGAATATAAAAAATATGTAATTTAACTAATTAAGACATGACAAAAAAACTGAGGTATGTCTCGTTTCTGTCGGGCCTGGGTCACAGATGACCGTTCTTCTTTGACCTGAAAACTGCTTCAATTTTTTTCTCGCGTGTTTTCAACCGATTTTTTTTATATTAATTTCGAATATGTCTTTAGTCAAATAAAAATAAAATTCAGATCCAAAAAATGATTGGATAGCTAGTTACGAGCCGCCAAAGTTTAACAAAAGTACAAACCACGATAAAAAAATCAACATAGAATTCGATTTTAAAAATAATGAATGGAGATAATGAATTGCCAATGATCTTAAAAATCAACTGGACTAATAGTCCTGGAGAATACAATGAGCAAACATTCTAGACATGCGGGAGCATGTTAAGCCTAGTTCCAGGGAATTGTACTAGTTGCACCGTGCGTACCTATATTTTTAGACGAACCAATTGGAGCCACTTTTGACTCCTCATCACTCAAAAACTACTGTGCATTAACACTTCCAATTTGGCTCATGTGTGGAGACTTGGAAGATAAACATCAGCTTCAAATTTCATAAATATACCTCAAACGGTTCTTTGGGTATTAATAATTCCTTGCACTTACCTCCATAGGTACCTACCTAAGTATAATATAAAATCAAATGGAAAACTACTGGCGCGTAATAACCTCATTTTATTGATATGGTCAATGATTTGAACGATTGTATGTTATTGTAGTGCAATCTTTTATCTTTATCGAACAACCTTGACCAAAGATTTTTCTAATTTAACAAAATAATATACTAAACTACACTCAACATCAAACAAACGCACCTTCCGCGACGCGAACTTTAAAAGATTTTCTTCTGACACAATTATGGTACCCCAACAATATTGGTGTTATTTGAAAGCCCAATAAATATCCTTAAAGAAAAACACATTTAATTTCTTAATAAGTGATTAACATATACCATAAATGTGACTTGAAAAAAGACCTCACTTTGGGCTCACCTCTGGGATCAATTAGACCAAATTTTATGGTTATAAAACCAAATAATGATCACACGTGTCCTCTTTAACAGATGGATAGCGATTAATCCCAACTTAACAGTTTTAAAGCCTTAAAAGTTGGCTCAAGCGTAACTACCTATTTTTTGAAGAAGTGACACTAGATCCTTCTAAAGACACATTTTTGGGGTAAAAACCTTTCCTTTAATGAAATGAAGTTTAGAACTAGGCTTTTAAATGGTGCCAATATTGGTGGGCAGTGGGGATGCAAACGTTTGAAAGTGCTTGTCGCGGGAGGTGCGATTTATTTGATGTCGAGTGTATACCTAATGATTTTATTTATCATGCTGAATCTGCTTTAATAGGTTTAAAGCAGTTTGAGATGTTATAACAAACATTTGTAACCATTTACCGCTAAGATGTTTAGGGATTTTGTGATGGCTTTAGTAAATTTTTTAAAAATAAATCAACATTTAATCATGACTACTTATTCCGTAGCAAGGTTGTAGCATTAGCTATGTAAATGACTAAAGAGGAAGAACAAAGACTCAATGTATGGCTAATTATGTATTCCAATCAATGTTGACTCAAACGGACATAACGACGAGGTTGTTTTCAAAGCAAACAGACCTGCCTCTTTGTCAACGGACTGCTGTTAAAGAGACTGCTTTCTATGCATGAAATTAAAAACACGATTAAAGATGTTCTTAACATACATACCTACCTTATATGAGTAAGTATTTGGGTTTTCAGTATTTTGTTTATGATGTCATGTCGATAAATAGGGTAGGTATGTATTTTGTATAACTTTTACTGTTCCTTTAACACCTACTCCGGAAGAAAATTTCTCCACCAGCTTTTCAACAGAAAGGAGGGTAGTATGGTAATAACAATTAATTTTCCCTTTCGCATGGCAATCATGAATATAATTTTCAGGAGAGCAGTAACACAACAGTAAGTTAAGTAGTTACTCCACCGTGGTTCTTACCCTTAACGGTCGGGCGCTGCTCGATTATCGTTCATCAGCTGAACAAAGAACTAACTCACTCGATCACAATTTGCATAAGTGCATCAACTTGATTTGCGAGATTATTAGTCTAGATTTGATTTTTGTCATTTGTAGGGAGCTCCCTTCGTCATCAACATGAGTTCAACGGGTTTCATAATATCCTTCTTCCTTTCTAAAAAAATATCTCTGATAACAACTTTTCTTTGTTGGAATGCTGGTAAGAATGTATTACATAACTAGCGGCCGCCCGCGACTTGGCCGTGGATCCCGTTATACCACCTTAGGGGTGGAGTTTCGTAAAATCCTTTCTTAGCGGATGCCTACGTCATAACATCTACCTGCATGCCAAATTTCAGCCCGATCCGTCCAGGGTTTGGGCTGTGCGTTGATAGATCAAAATGTCAGTCAGTCAGTCACCTTTGAGGCATATTTAGATTTGTAATATTTAAAAGCAGATTTCATTTGATGGATGGGTCAAAATGTGAATCAACTTTCATGAGTCTTCATTGGATTCAGACTGATTAAAATTCTCACAGAAATATTCTCTGTACTTTGTGCTCCAGATCCAGAGGTAGATTTTCTTGATTCACGCGACGCATCAATGCATGTTAACGGAGAGAATTCTATGGTCCTAAGTATTTATGTCAGATTGAATCTTTTATTGGGAAAAGGCATTCCAGGTTGAATTGTCTGTTTGCGTTCAGAAGAGCTGCACCTCCTGTGGCGCGCCTCGCAGGAGCAGGGGCTGCGGGCGCGCGCGGGGGGCGCGGGGACGGAGCTGCCGGCGCACGGGCTGCACCGCGAGGGTGGCGTGCTCGACCTCGGCTGCCCCCACGCAGACCTTATCATTAACGCAGTGAGTTCTACCAGAGCTACGATCATTGGTGTACTTCAATTTGATCCTTTTTGATATGATACGAAGGCTCAACTTTCTCATTTTCGTAAATGCTGCAGGCGTCTGAATCCCGAGGCTTCAACTACCGTTACACTTGGCTTCTTCTCCACAACTCCACTTTTGACGTTGATGTAATGAACAGCATTTTGTCCGACTCCGCTATTCTGCCTGATGCTGAAGTAACTTTTGCCTCCATCGACAAGCTGGTAGATGTCTACCGAGTGAAGGTCAACGAGCCTTTCGTGACAACCACTCTGGGGGTCACTAGAGACAGTAACCGACAAGAATTCGAAGCGTTGTGGGGAATTTTGAAAACAACTGTGACACGGAGGAAGAATTTGAACAATATTTACTTGAAAGCTGCTACTACAGTATGTAAATATGGAGAGCACCTTGTTTAATGTTCTACCCATATTCAATTTCGTAATTAAGTTAATATGTTTTTGCAGATAACTCAGCCACAGAATTTTAAAGGATGGGACGACTTGACCGTTAAACATATTGATACTTTTCCAAAGTTGACCTACCCTCTTTTATTGCTCTGCGCGGAGGATTTAAATTTTCGGTACGTACTTCGTACTCTACTCCCATTTCAATAATGTAGGTAGGTTACGTTTTAATAACCTTTTTGAAACGTCAGGGAAATATTCCATGGACTCGTATATTTTTTGTGGTCGATGTCTCTACTTCTTTAGTTTCTTTTAGCTACTTACTATTATGTTAATTTTGACTGTTAGCCTGAATCTGCGGCAAGTGGACTTGTACGGGGAACAGATGAACGGTTCGTTCAATGGGCTGGCGGGGCTGCTGCAGCGGAGCGCCGTGGAGCTGGGCGTCACGTCCATGTTCATGCGCCCCGACCGCCTGGGAATACTGCATTTCTGCTCGGAGACCGTCGAGCTCAGGTGAGGACTTCTGAAGTAAAAGCCATTGAACGGTCAGTTATTTTAGATGTTCTTTTTTGTGGTGTTAAAATTTTATCCTAGTAAACCTACTCGTTTCAGCCAAATGACGTCCACTGCTGGACAAAGGCCTCCCCCAAGGATTTCCATAACGATCGGTCTTGCGCTGACCGCATCCAGGTTCTTCCCGCGATCTTCACTAGATCGTCGGTCCACCTATTGGGAAGCCCGCCCACGCTAAGTGTTCCAGCCCGTGGTTGCCACTTGAGAACTTTTCTGCCCCAACGGCCATCGTCTCCACGAGCTATGTGCCCCGCCCACCGCGCTGCACTTACTAACATTATGTAGTAAACCTACATAAAGATTTCATGGTAGGCTGCACCAGTTATTTAGGTAAAGGGTTGACATCGAGACAGTTTTTGGGCCTAAGTATTGAAAAAAATTCACCACCGGTATCCAGTATGACACGAAGTTTCGCCAGCATTTGGCGAGGCGAGACTACTTTGTGCCACAGCTTCCTCGGTAGGTAAAAAATGAACCAAACCGTAGGCAAAATATTGCCTTTTCTGCGCAGGGGCGCATTTATATTCCGGCAGCCGCCGAAGTCGTCGGTGAGCAACGTGTTCCTGCTGCCGTTCAGCCGCGGCGTGTGGTGCGCGTGCGGCGGCGTGCTGGCGGCGGCGGGCGCGCTGCTGGCCGCGCTGGCCACGCCGCGCCGCCTGCTGCGCGCCGACCCCGCACTGGTGCAAATCACGCCCGCCGAAGCATTCACGTTTGCTATTGGGACTATATGCCAGCAAGGTAGGGTGCAGGCAACCCCGCCACGATACCTTCACTTGGTACTTGCATTTGTATCAGCTAGGTAGAGCTGCTCTTAACAGAGATCATACTATGTAGCCTCGTCCAAACAAGGTACCTACAGGACCGTCTTTAATCTATTATACAAGGGACCCTAGGCAGTATCAAGCGAGGGACCCTTTTGATATAAATGTCTGATTAACAAAACTGTTATTACAGTGACAGGGTTTCTTCACAGGTGTATTTTTTTAGCAGAAGGGGAACCCCTTTATCGCGACGCCCAGTGGGAAAGAAGGCCTGACTAGGTGTACTTTATTTATTACTTTTGTGTTTGACAAAACTCTGTCTACATCATGCTTGATACTTTTCGTCGATTGGTATAAGCCGGGATATATTTGGGCCACGGGCGCAGGTTTCCATGTGAGCCCCCGCGTGGCGTCGGTGCGGCTGGTGATGTTCTGTACGCTGCTGGCGTCGCTGTTCGCCTTCACGTCGTACTCGGCCAAGATCGTGGCCATCCTGCAGACGCCCAGCGACGCCATCCGCACCATCGACGACCTGTCCCGCTCGCCCATGACGCTCGGCGTGCAGGAGACCACCTACAAGAGAGTCTACTTCGCTGTGAGTCTTTCTATCTCAATAGACGGTCAGTTTCCCATGCTGTGGATGATGGATAAAGAAGAAAGTAATTAGGAAACGAATTAAACTGAACTGAAACGCTGATGAACTTTAAAGTGATGTAATAGATGATATGTATTAAAAACCCAAAAAAATTAAACACGAAACTAATTAAAGTTGTAATGACATTTTTCCTTAAAAGTTAATGTTATTTTCTTATCTCTCTAACTAAACAGGTTTTCATTGCATGCATATTGGTTAGGGTGTCCCTTATTTTTCAAAGTTTTAAATTTCTAACGCATAGGTCTTGGTTTTGTTTGTTTGCCTCTAAAATACTCGGAAATAAATGTTTACCTTATTTGGAGTACGATAACCCGTGCCGACTTGCATCGAAACATGTTGCGCGGCAGTAGCGGTGCGTATTCGCAGTATTTATCATTTGTTCTCAAAATCTCGCGATTAACACCTATTGTTTGACATTTAGAAGATGGCTGTGGAATTAAGAAGCAATAAAAAAAGTATTTTCTTAGTCGGGGACGTAAATTTATCAAATAACAGGCACAAAGTTACCGTTAATCGTCAAGTTTTTGCAGTATTTTTTAACATATTTTGCGAAGTTAATTAAATGTTATTGAAAGCTCTAATCTTATCATTCGGGAGTGAATTATATTTTGGGATAAGCTATAAATCCTACCAGAGCCTAACTGTGTAAAAAAACTTGCGGATCTTCACCATGCTTGGAGGGAGTTGCAAAAAAAAATTATTTAAAAAAATCAAGATTTATAAGCGCCGCGGTGAGGAGTATTTAAAAACAAATAAAATATTTTTACAAAAGCAAATAAAACCACAAAAAGTTAGTTAAGAAAGTAGAAAGTCCAAGGACAAAGAAAATTAAATAAATAAAAATAAAACAATAGAGCAAATTTATTCGGAGGTTTATCGTCATCTCTTACTACGCAAGATTCTATACAAACGCAAGAACATCACGACCAGCTTACCAGCTCTGATAAAAGCCTTAAAGAACTCTTGACATCCACTTTCCAAAAGGTATATGAGAGTGTTGACAAAATGATTTCCAAAGCAGCCCTAAGCAAGTTTAGTCAACATCTTTGGTACTTCATGTTAGAAGAAATTGCCGTTTTATCACTCTTTGATGATGAAGGTAATGAACAAACACCGTCAATATTGTAGTAAAAGTACAAAGAGAGAGTATGTATGATTCTGGGAAGAGATACATTCCATCTGAAGAAGGTACGATTATTTCTATGGTAAATAGGACTTAGTACTAATTTTTCATCCTGTTTTTAATGAATTGATAATAATTCTGCCTTATTTATTGTTGCTGGAAAACCATTGAGTGATTTTGTGTCTGTCAAGAGTATAAATTTATTTTCTCCATTGAAAATTGATAAGAATTTCCCCCCGAGTCCCATTTCTAGATGAGATAAAGATGTTGCCTATTTAAAGGCAAAAAAGTGCTTTTATAGGGGTAGTTAATGATACAGCTGAAGAAGCTATAAAGCTTATGCAAGATTTTCATGGTTTGATCACTGCAAAGGAAGAGCAAAAGCTATTTTTGCTACGCACAGTGTAGCAAAAATCAGGCCAATATTCAGGAGCGTGGAAATCTGTATCCAGAATGTAAAAAAGGGTCTCTCAAAGGTTAAAATATATTGTCTGATCTGTAATGTTATCTTCTTTTTATAAATATTAAAAAAAAAAATATATTTTAATTGATTTAGCTACTTAATAAAAGGGGTAAAACCAGCATTTTTAAAAATATTCAGAGCTCGGTCGGCACGGGTTAATGTTGACGTAGGAAGATGAAATTTTGTATTTAAGTATGTCTGAGTAGTACGAAAAGAAATAGGGGGTATGCAATTAAATATCTAAAAAAAATTTTTTTTCGGCCATATAAGGGACACCCTAATATTGGTGTATGACAAAAGATAATTTTAATTACATACTCGTACACGTAACTTTTAAATTACTATTAATCTAACGATGGATTAAATGATCATTATAGATTCATTATTCCTACGTCATTTATCTATAAAAAAGAAATCACTCTTATACGGCTCAAATAGGCAACAGCTTAGTGCTCGTTTTCCCTAAACTCAAAGCATTGCATAGAAAATGACATAATTATGCGACTCCTAAATATTTCCTTGGGTATGTTTAGTGGAAACAGGCATAAGTCTGCGTTATAAGCTGTTAGAGCTAAATGGTGAAGTGCTGGGTGTTGGCTGCCGGCAGGAGAGCGAGGACCCGGCCACGCAGCGGCTGTACCGGCGCAAGCTGCTGCCGCTGGGCGAGCGCGCCTACCTCAGCGTGGTGGACGGCGTGGCGCGCCTGCGCTCCGGCCTCTTCGCCTTCCAGGTAGTAGAGCGAGGACCGGCCACCAGCGGCTGTACCGGCGCATTTTTCACAATTTCCATTTTTTAAAATTACCTATCGATAGCTTACTTTATTCTGATGAATAAATGTCATTACAAGTTTTTCTCTAAAACTGATAATTTGGCTAGAAAAAAATATTTTCTATCCACGCAGTACGCCGGCAGCGTTCGGATCGGATATAATGACGTCATCGTCCCCGCGCCGGGCGGTCAGTGAACTTTTTTAGTAATTTGGCCATAACTTCGTCAATTTTTGTCGTAGAACAAAAATTTTTGCACTGTGTATTAAGGATTTCTTAGCCCTATAAATCTGCATTCACAGCTAAAAATCGAAATGATCCTCATTGAGAACCTCCTCCTTTTTTGAAGTCGGTTGAAAAGAGTTCCATGACATGCATAATAATGTTCGTACATTATACTCGTATCTATTGTTATTTTTTCATTTAATTTAATTTTCATCACTCATTTAATTACAAATCAACCTAGCACCTGTGCTCTTACAAGTCAGTACCTCCTACCACGTACATACCACGTAATTTAATTGTAAAACATGTTGATAAGGTACAAATTTCCCTATCCACTTTTCCTCTGTTTACGAAAAATGTAGAGTTCAAACTTTACTTTTTATACATAATAATAATAATAACATTTAGTCCAGTCCAATGAATGCTTTAACGACGGTGTAGAGAGAAATCCGTGGAACACAATTTCTGACCTCGGGACTTTATTTAGACTAAGTACCTAGTTAGGAGGTAAACATACCAAAAATTCCCGCCCTTAGCCCTTGAGCCGGCGGGGAGAGGCGAGTGTAAAGGTACCACTTTTTGGTTTTTCGCTTAATTCTCGGAAACTATGTGTCCTAGTGACATGACTACTATGAACCAAAAAAACCGGCCAAGTGCGTGTCGGACTCACGCACAAAGGGTTCCGTACCATTGATTTATGTTTTTTTTTAATTTAAGTTATTTGTATGAAAGATTACGCGGTAATAAGCGGTTTACGATTTACGAGGTATTAAAAAAAACTACTTAGTTACCTACTCCCCGCCGGCTCAAGGGCTAAGGGCGGCGACTTTTGCTATGTTCACCTCGTAACTAGTCTAAATAAAGTCCCGAAGTCAGAAATTGTGTTCCACGGATTTCCATCTAATGCTTTATTGACTGGACTAATTATATAATTTACTTATTAATATTATTTAATAAACGTAACCTATTTACTCAGGTGCTGTTATACGGCACGCTGTTTGCCGTCGTTTTGCTGTTCATCGAAATCGCCGTCAAACGCTCTACTGATAGGGTACGGCTACAGAATTACAGATATCGTATAGTTAATTTAGACAAATTAGTATGTAGTTTATTGCTTGGCGGAACATAAATTGTGTCTGCGGTCGATCATCTGCATTTCAGCTTTTGCACACCTGCCCAGGTCACTGCTCGATTGACTGAAGCTTGTACACGTGACACGCACAATTATCATTTCGGATTCTATCTAATTAACTACGTAGTTATTTTGTATTTTCGGTTAGAGTTAGTTTAATAGTAATACAAGTTATTTTGTTACAGATCAAACATAAATCTAAAGTAAAGGATCTAAAGGACCTATAAACAATTGATCTTTAATATAACATTTTATGTAAAACTGCTTGAATTTTATGAACATGGAAGTATTTACAAAAGGGGGATTCAGACGGACGCCGTATTTATCTTCGCTGCAACAGACTAGGTGCGGAGTGCCGCACTTGGAACTCAGCACTTAAAACATAGAAAGTAAACAGTGATAACAATTACATATCGTCCATTTNCAAATAGGCAACAGCTTAGTGCTCGTTTTCCCTAAACTCAAAGCATTGCATAGAAAATGACATAATTATGCGACTCCTAAATATTTCCTTGGGTATGTTTAGTGGAAACAGGCATAAGTCTGCGTTATAAGCTGTTAGAGCTAAATGGTGAAGTGCTGGGTGTTGGCTGCCGGCAGGAGAGCGAGGACCCGGCCACGCAGCGGCTGTACCGGCGCAAGCTGCTGCCGCTGGGCGAGCGCGCCTACCTCAGCGTGGTGGACGGCGTGGCGCGCCTGCGCTCCGGCCTCTTCGCCTTCCAGGTAGTAGAGCGAGGACCGGCCACCAGCGGCTGTACCGGCGCGAGCTGCTGCCGCTGGGCGAGCGCGCCTACCTCAGCGTGGTGGACGGCGTGGCGCGCCTGCGCTCCGGCCTCTTCGCCTTCCAGGTAGTAGAGCGAGGACCGGCCACCAGCGGCTGTACCGGCGCAAGCTGCTGCCGCTGAGCGAGCGCGCCTACCTCAGCGTGGTGGACGGCGTGGCGCGCCTGCGCTCCGGCCTCTTCGCCTTCCAGGTAGTAGAGCGAGGACCGGCCACCAGCGGCTGTACCGGCGCGAGCTGCTGCCGCTGGGCGAGCGCGCCTACCTCTACGTGGTGGACGGAGTAGAATTTTTACTCAAAAGTGACGTCACGCGACATTACAACTCAATATATAATACTGTAATTATTCGATTATGGAAAAAAATAAAAAATAGTAATATTTTCTAATTATCTGTCTGACGGACTAAATAGAATTTCGATTTCATTACCCAGTCATCATCCCTATTCAAGTTATATTTGTGTTGTCTAAAAGACGTGTTTATTTGTGTTCCTAAAGTAGTAAAAAAATATTGAAGATTGACTTGAGAGGCAAGTCAAATTAATTTCGCGCAAGTGGTTGCGAATTCCAGACAGTTAAGATCCCCGGAATCATTCAATCTTCGCTAGACTGTCTTGCAATGGTGGGAAGTAGAAGTGGGATCAGCCTTGGTCTTTAACGTAAGGCTAGGAACATCATCGCTGTTCCTTCGGCAGGTGGAGGAGAGCTCTGGCTACGACATCATCAGCAAGACGTTCACGGAGAGCGAGAAGTGCGGGCTCAAGCTCATCCAGGCCTTCAAGCTGCCCATGGTGGCCGTGCCCATCCGCAAGCACTCGGGCTACCGGGAGCTCTTTGCAGTGAGGTCAGAACCAAAGTATCCTTTTCGGTGTCAAATTTATGTTACTAATCGTGGTTTTTTCCATCACATCTGCTGTTATTTCGTTTATTCGTAGTAGTACAGCCAGTACAGCTAATAAAGGTTCTTTATTTTTCGTTATGACCGGTGTGAAAAACGACCACCAGTAGTTCTACTGGTTCTACCTACTAATACTCCTGACAAATAGCATGCTCGATGTCCTGGCCATGCGCGTATAGCGGAATGGTCCCCAGAATGGTCTAGTGCCCCCCAAGGATGTTTGGCTATTATTTGAAGATGATAGTTGATATTATAGTAGGTACTGTAGGCCGTTTTTAGGGCTATTCTCGTCCCAATTATAGCTTAACCTTCGGGACAACTATCGGCTGGTGCTGAGAAGCTGTGGTAGAAACTCAGTGACTTTTGTACTGGTTTTAGGCTCCGCTGGCAGAGGGAGGTGGGGCTGATAGAGCGCTCGCGGCGCATCTGGCTGGCGGCGCGCGCGCGCTGCGACGCGGCCGGCGCCGGCTTCATCAGCGTGCGCCTGTCCGACGTGCTGCCGGCGGTGCAGGTGCGTGAGATACTTACATATGAACTGGAAGCTGGAAACATTGAATTTTCAGATAGATCCTGTTTATTCTGTAACCTATTATTGGTACCGTTTGAAAGAGCTCATGAAGCACTTTCAGGATCAGTAACCAGTTTTTCAATATCTTGTATAGTTTAGAAATAATTGAATGAGATCACTTAACGTTTCCACTCTGTATAGTTTTTCTATAAAATAGCAGACCGAAATTTACAAAATTTCACACTTACCTGTTTGCAAAAATAGAGAATTGTAAATTAGGTTTTGATGTTTTTACTTATTAATTAACTTAATAAACCTATTTACTCAGGTGCTGTTGTATGGCACGCTGTTTGCCGTCGTTCTGCTGTTCATTGAAATCGCCGTCAAACGTTTTACTGATAGGGTACAGCTACAGATATCGTATAGTTAATTTAGGCAAAAATATAATTAAGTAGTTTATTGCTTGGCGGAACATAAATTGTGTCTGTGGTCGACCATCTGCATTTCAGCTTTTGGACACCTGCCCCTGGTCACTGCTCGATTGTACTGAAGCTTGTACACGTGACACGCACAATTATCATTTCGGATTCTATCTATGTAATCCTACCTAGTTATTTTGTATTTTGGGTTAGAGTTAGTTTAATAGTAATACAAGTTATTTTGTTACAGATCAAACATAAATCTAAAGTAAAGGATCTAAAGGACCTATAAACATTATGATCTTTAATATAACATTTTATTAAAAATTGCTGGAATTTTATGAACATGGAAGTATTTACAAAAGGGGGATTTAGACGGACGCCGTATTTATCTTCGCTGCAACAGACTAGGTGCGGAGTGCCGCACTTGGAACTCAGCACCTTAAAACATATAGAAAGTAAACAATGATAACGATTACATATCGATTCTCTAGATAGCAACACTTGGATTACTCGTAAGTAGTGGAATTAGAAACCGAATTATCTCAAGTAGATAATCATTAAACAACTTCTGATCATAATCGGAGCAAAGTAAAGAAACTAGATTGAAGGATTAGCATATGAATCCCAAAGTTTGCTTGCAAGTAGGTAGTTGACCGTTTTATTATGTAATAAAATATTTAAAAAATAAGTATTTCTTTTGTTTCAAAACATATTTTAATTATTAGAATCGAATCGCCGAAACAAGGCACATTAACACACGTCACTGGCTCTAGAAGTCTTTGGTTATCTAAAGAAGGCAATCGGTTCCGTTAGTGCACACCGGATCAGCCGCGAGTCGAGGCGGCTGGGCTTCAGAGGTAGACGCAGACGGCCACGAACACGGCCAGGAGCAGCGCGGCCAGCAGCGCGCGGTCCAGCAGCAGCGCCAGCGCCGCCCACGCGCCCACCTCCGCCGCCTGGCACGTGTCCTGCGAACGACACGCTCAAATCTCATTCGGTTCTTAAACAACTCTTCTCCTTTTTATTAGTTGGTAAAACTAGTTCAGCCAATTGTTTTGATTTGATTGCAATGACGATAAGTCCTAACGTGCGAAATTGGCATGAACATCTAGAATTGTTTATTTTCAGTTGACTCGTCTCGCTGGAATACTGTTTTTGTCTGCAAAAGTAGGTAAACCGTCATACTACTGTTCTAGACCCTCCATAAGCGGTGCAGCCGACTATGAACAAAAAGCAGGTTTGCTTATCGATTGATAACAAAAACGACGATAGACTTATTCGAGTATCTTATGTAGGTACTGCCACTCAATCGGGCCAGGCGGCACTGACCTCTCCCGGCGACAGCCTGCACAGCACGGAGAAGGCGGAGGCCAGCGTGCGCAGCGAGCGCGGCGGCGCCGACGACGCCCGCGCCACGCGCGCCACCAGCGCCGCGCACGCGCCGCCCGCGCCGCCCGCCACGCACACCACGCAGAACACCACCACCGCCGTCGGCGTCGACGACGACGCCGGCAGCCGCAGCAGCGCCGACACCAGCCTGCAACCACGGTCGACATTTTGGCATGGTGCATGACCTTCGTCATCCAATGAGAGAAAACAGGTGGTTTATGCACGCATTCCAGACATAATATATGAAGCACGGCACCAGAATTCGTGGTAGAACTGCGTTGGACTGCCGCTTACCACACCGCTGCAGTGAAGGACGCACACGCGCAAAGCGGAGCGCGCGCCAGCGGCGGCAGCAGCGCGGCGCTCAGCAGCATCAGCGCCGCGGCCGCCAGCACGGCGCCCGACGCGGCCTCGTGCGCCGCCGCGCGCCGCCGCAGCGTCACCGACCACGCCGCCACGCTCCGCTCCGCCTCCGGCGCCAGCTGCCCGGTCACGCTCATCAGCTCCCAGGACCCGGTCTCGAACACCACCGCAGTCTGAAGTTACCAAGGAAATCATTAATTTATAATTTATTCAAAAAGAACATTTAACTTCAATGAGAATACGGAACTCGATAAGGCACGAATGTGACGTCGATGATAGAGCGAGCATTCAGAAGCCAAATGTTTAGAAATGAACAGAAGCGGATTAATGGAAGCATTTCGAGAAATTTCTGAGTTAATTCTGCTCACTGACCGTAAATTCGTCGATTTCTAAAATTAGTTCGTCGGTGTTGAGCGTGCGGGAGCCAAACTTGAAGAGTGCTCGCTGGCGGTCGGCGGGCCAGCCGGCCAGCTGCACGCGCACCGGCACGACGGCGTCGAGGCGCAGCACGAGCGCCAGCAGGCCGTCGCTGCCAATGCGCGCGCCCTGCGCCGTCTGCGCGCCGCTGGCGCCGTTCAGCAGCTCCAGGTCCGGCACCCACAGCCGGTCCGTGGCCGCCACTAGCGAGTCGCAGCCCCAGTCGCTCGCGTTCCACTCTATCCGCGGGTCTGACCACGTCTGCGAGAACATGATAATTTAATTTTGTTTCAGTATTGCCTCTCTTGTGTCGTCAACGACGCAGAGACTGAGCTACGACATGTAAGCACTGATTAATCTGGCCTTGAAAACATTAGTATTTTCTAAAGGCTTTGCGGTGAGCAAAGGGGATGCCTCGGCTTAATTCCTTGCCACATATCCGGTAAATGGAATGTTGTTTTTCTATTACAAATTAATTTTGTGGACATTTGTTTTTCGTACATTCACGTTACTATCTTCGGCGGACGGCGTCGTCATGCGCGGTGCTGACTCACCATGACCAAGTCGGCGAGCATGTGCACGCTGGCGTCGGCGGTGAGCGCGGCGTGGCGCGGCTCGAAGCTGAGCCGCACGCGCACGGGCAGCGCCGGCGCCGCCTCGCGGTCGTACTCCGCCAGCAGCGCGTCCAGCTGCTGCGAGAGTGACGTCACGTTCGTGCACGCCTCCGCGGGCCCTGCTGTAACTTGCGCATTGTTATCATCATCTCCTCATGTTTGGATGCTGGGACATTTGCGATAGATGTATGTAGAGCACATGCATTACCTACTGTTACCGTGTTTCAAAATATGAATCGTACATCGATCTCCCAAATAAAATCGATTAAGAAATAAATCCCAACTACGATAAACATATTACTTGTTAATTGACACTAATGACTACTTAAGATAGAAATCAAAACAGATTAATTGATTAATTAGGGTATCATATACCTACGTGCAAAATAGCACGAAAAAAGGAAATTATTTTTTTACCTTACTTCGGAAAAGCCAAAAGGAAGGGTTATGATTAGCACTCTTGTACGAGTGTTACCTAGGTACACTGAATCTCTAACTATGCTTACACTGAATCTCTGATCCAGGCCTGATGCTAATAATAAAAGTTTTGCTAAACTATGACAAATAATTATGTATGTCAGCGGAAATCGCACTGTCCATTGTTTGCAACACTGGGAGTACCTACAGTAAATTATATTGGTACATTACATCTATCGCTTTCACTGGGGATAAAGAAGTTAAAAGAGGATAACAAAACATTTTCATAATAGTGCCTCGATTGTATAAGCGTTTAGGATCGAGCAACCTTAGGTGCAGGAATCCTCTGGTTGTTTGCAGCGCTGTGTGTGCATTCGAGACGCTAAGTTTGAAAATATTTTCCTATCCCTTGACCGAGGCGGTGGCGCGGTGGCGCGGTGGCTACGTTACCGAGGACCAGCAGCAGCGCGGGAAGCAGCAGCGCGCGCGCCGACCTGGCGAGCCACATGGCGGACAGTGGCCGGGCGCGTCCGCGACGGCTCGCGCGCGCCGCTTCAACAGGGGCGAGCAACAGTTCTTCCCGATGTAAGCTTTCATTACATTTTAAACTTAGGTACCTACTTGGTTGTTTTATGTTCGTACCTAAATAAAAAGTAATAATTGATAGTGGGGATTGGGGCATACAGTAGCAATTCGTGACATAATTAGTGTTTTTCGAGTACTATTGGTACATTATAACTATCCAGCATTCTTAGAGTTGTTAAAGATATCTGATATACTTACTTATTATAACTATATTGATTTATAGTAGAAAGCTATATAATATGTCCATGATGTTTTTAATATCTTGAGTAGTTGAGTTCGTTTACAAACCCAAATATGTACCTATGTAGAAGCATGGATTAATAAAACTAATCCATGTTAGTATACACGTAGTTAATATATTGATGGGTGGTTTAAGCGAGCGGTTGATAGGTAAGTATGTCTAATGTTGATGGGTGGCACTCTGTTCTTAAGAAAAACTTTATTTAACTTAACTAATTAATAAATTGTGCCTGGCGCGGTGGCGCGCCCCTGCGCGAGAGGCGCGTGGGCGGCTATCGGCACGGGTTTCCTGCGCGCAAGGACAATCCCCATAATATACAGTCCGTTACTTAATAATCAGCACAAAGCCGCCTCATCCTTTATTTGGTAAGAGTTTAAATTTCCCCAGTCATTCCTCCATTCCTTCCAATAACCCATCTTTTCCTACTTATATTGTTCATACATTTATCTCGGTTAGAATTTCATTTTTATATAATATTTGTTGAACAGGCGTGGAGTGTAGAGTCGAAAGATGTTTCAGGAGATGCATTGTGGTTTTTACCAACCAAATAGGTTCGTTCGTTCGTTCGTTTCAGCCAAATGACGTCCACTGCCGGACAAAGGCCTCCTCCAAGGTTTTCCACAATGCACGGTCCTGCGCTGCCCGCATCCAGGCTCTTCCCGCGACCTTTACCAGATCGTCGGTCCACCTAGTAGGAGGCCTGCCCACGCTACGTCTTCCAGCCCGTGGTCGCCACTCGAGAACTATTCTGCCCCAACGGCCATCGTTTCTACGAGCTATGTGCTCCGCCCACTGCCACTTGATTTTAGCAATTCTGCGAGCTATGTCGGTCACTTTGGTTCTCCTGCGGATCTACTCATTTCTGATTCGATCACGCAGGGAAACTCCAAGCATGGCCCGCTCCATCGCCCTTTGGGTGACCTTGAGACTTCTTATGACCAACCAAATAGGTATCTGATACTAAACTTGAGTCATACGAGAAGTGCCTAACTAACTATACTTACTCGGTGACATTTACAGCCTGACCTAGTTCACCTATAATAGAAAATAACCGATTTTAGGTAAAAGGTGAAGTCACCTGGTGCTTTTCATGACACCGCACCAGTTGCAACCAATATCACTACGGCATGCATATGGTAAAGTGTTTCCTATGACTTTTCCATTGTAGTAGGTACTTACTCTTACGTCCTGTATCCGTTTTCAGTTGATAATTTGGGGTTTTCCGACATGTGGGGATTAACCGTCAAGTATGATGAATGAGTGTATTAATAATAATTGATGGATGTTAAATTTATTATTTAAGTTATAAAAACTCAATGAAGCACAAACATTTATTGTATATTTTTTAAACATACAATCATAAAATGTACAACAAAAATAAAATCATAACCAAAAATGATTGTAAACAAAACAAATCAAGTACTTTAATAATCCTATGTACATCTACCATTTACCTAAATACATAGGCAATTACACTTTAGTATTATAAAATAAATCTTGTACCACATTAGTGTATGTAAATAGTACGAATACCTACCTACGCGTAATAAAAAATTAAAACATTTATTTAGGTACTAGTAAATTTACTTCTTAATATTTAAATTATGCAGTGTAAATATTTAACATTTTAACAAAAATTTCATCAATAAAAATAAATGCAGAAACAATTTAATGTACCTAGGTAACCTACCTAAGTCCTACAATGTGATAAGAAAATTAACAATAACTTTTTAGCATTTAAGATCTAGCTAGCTGCTAGACCAAAGTTTCTCAAACTTTTTGGCCTTCTAAATTACTCGTTAAGTTTTACGGCTTTTGGTGGATCTTTTCTTGGCTTCCTGAAATCCCCCTTATCGTGGATTGCTGCAAGTTGTGTTGTGTTTACTTTTTTTAACCGACTTCAAATAAGGAGGAGGTTATTACAGGTAACTAACGGATTTTCACATTTAGATTTACCTAACCTTAATCTATGTAACCTAGAATAAAAAATCATGCACCCGTATAAAATAATAAAATCAATCACGGAATAAAAAATGTTTAATCTTAAGTCTGAAAATATAATTGCTAGCGAAAGAAGAAAATGCTAGCGAAAGAAGAAAATGACATAACTTAACATTGTACCTACTACCTATAATTTAGTAGAGCTCTCGCTTAGCGTCACAGCTTAGCAATTAGTTAGGTAAGTAATAGGTAACTAGACACCGTTGTATCTACTTATTGAGTATATTGACATGAAAGTATTGCAGTTAATTGATTTTATTTAGTAACAGTAAGTACTTACTAACAGTAACTATATTATAGCTTTACGCAGAACTCTGCTGCAGAATATTTACAGCAAAAGAAAATAATGTAAATGACCGATTACTTACTGAAAATATATCATCGACCACGTGATGTTCTAAAATTACCTACTGTTCCTGCATCAAATCAATAGGAGCATGAACTTTAAAATTACTTTTTCTTAGAAAATAACTTAAATACTAGTTAGGTATTACAAGAGGAACATTAGGAAAAACGGAGATGACGTGAACATTTCTAAAACGACTTAGCATTTAATTTATTGAAACCAAGTTCTTTATTCTTCGATTACTTCCCCTACCTACCGATACTAAAGCATTGTTAGTCACTATTTTATTTAACTATTATACATTATTTTTAGCACAATGTGTGCAAACACGAGTACCTAGATAAGACAAGCCTTTAACTATTAGGATTTAGGGGAGGCATAACAGATGTAATACAATACGAAATTACAGGTTATCTAATTATTTGTGTTTCACTGTGCGTGTGACGGATGAGGCTGCTCATGCAGCCTTTGCTGGGGTCCTTGAGATGGTCCCTGGGGGCTGCCGAGGGGCCCCGGGGGCGCGTGGGCCGCGTGGCCCCCGGCGGGCGACAGGTAGTGCCAGTAGGGCGGCGCGTCGGGCGCCTGCGCCTGGCACGCGGCCGCCAGTCCTCGCCAGCTGAAGCGGTAAGCGTATCGCTTGCCGTGAACCTTTGCAAAGTTAGTTAATTTGGTCAAAATATTTAAAAACTGCTATACGAGCAACTCAAGAAAATGTTTAAAGCTTCGCAAGAGCAGTTATTTTGGCAAATTCATAATTACTTAACTACTAAAAAGAAATGTAGACCGGTCTCCCACTACATGGATTGTGAAGCTTGTGGGAAGCACCTGGATGCAGTCAGGGCAGGACCGGTCGTTGTAGTAATTCTCGCGGGACACTTTCGGGATTTTATTTGGCTAAAACGAACGAACATTTTTTTTTCCATTTTTCTGATAATAAATAAACGAAGAATGTACCTTGGTCATGATGTTCTTGTCGTAGTAGTAGCGCAGCGCGCGCGAGAGCTTGTCGTAGTTCATGTTGGGCTTCTGCTTGCGGCGGCCCCAGCGCCGCGCCACCTCGTCCGGGTCCGACAGCCGGAACTCGCCCTCCCCGGGCGGGCCCTGCGGGCAGGATGGACGGTAAGAATACGTAAGTCGTAGTGCTGACAGAGAGTTGTCATCTCTGTCAGCACTACGGCTACTAAGTACTCTATATTCCGAGGTCTCCAGCTCGAAATTTGGAATGTTATGAAAGTTATGTCGTTGAAATGGCTGTGAGTTACTGCTGAGTGGCATGCCAATAGCGATGATATTGAGATTTATTCTTGCTTATTTTCGCAATGCCAATGCACCACAATCAATGTCACACCAAACTCAAAGTGACTACGACCGCTCTGCCAAGAGCGAAACGAATAAGAAGAAGAATGCAATCCTGATGTAATCATAAATGTAGCCAATCCATCATCATCATCAGACGTCCACCGCTGAGCATAGACCTCCCCCAATGCTTTTTTTGCCCAATTGGTAGCAGCCTGCGTCCAGCGCCTTCCTGCCAGTTGTTCCAGCCAATCCCACTATCATCGAGGAATCACCAAGTGTTTGATTGCTTATACTTGAAGAGTGGTGTGTTGACTATGGCTTACCTCCCAGCAGATGCCGGGCGCGCCGGCCGCCAGCTCCTCCAGCAGGAACTGCCACAGCTGCACCTGGCCGCCGGCGGCGCGCGCGCAGCCGCTCAGCGCCGCGTACGGGTCTGAAGACACAATAATGAAACATTTAGAACAGTGTTTTTCAACTTTTTTCATGACGCGACCCCCCTAGCATGAAAAAATGTTTTGCGACCCCCCGACCTTTCGCTTTTTTTCATGCCTTTTACGAAGATGTTGTAGGGACCGAATTCTTCAATCTATACAACATTTATGCATTTGCATAATTAGATTTCGGATAAATCTAGCTTTAAAACTTTACTGTTTTTTTTTACTGAGATAGTTTTTACGACCTCTCGCGACCCACAGGTTGAAAAACACTGATTTAGAAGAGTGCGCGTGAGAATAGATTCTGATATGGGTAAAATTTAATCAAAGTAGTTTTGTCAAATTTTGACAAGTGCAGTTTCCGGCGTGAAAGAGTAAGCAAAACAAACATCATCATCATGAGCGTAATTACATAGCAGGAAAAGTTATCATACAAATTAATTGGTTTTATAAAAGGAAAAACAAATCATAAATATTAACACATACCTAATCCTATCTACTCTGGATAAGATTTTTTATCCACATCAATAGTTTTGGTGTTAATTAAATTGACTATTTTTAATGGCAGATGTTAGCGCTGTTTTTGTTAAAATATTTGTTACTTAACAATTAGTCATTCAAATTAAAGATTTCTAATTTTAATACAAAACAAGAGAGTTCTTTATCAAATTTTATTTTTTATGATACAAATTAAAAAGTAAAATCATTAAATTTGGTATTAACTTCACTTCATCAATTTATTTAAAAGTAGTGAAACGACTCGCCGCGACGCGTTCCCCGACGCTAAGTAATTTTAAATTTCGAAGCACCCTCAATCATATTTATCAATTTACTCTATCCGCGGCCCGCGCCCTCAGTGTCCTCGCCATCCGTGGCCTGCTTTGGGTTTCGTGAAGAAAATAATTTGATATTAACGATACATTACTACTAATGTTTTTAATATGCCAATTAATAAACTTTAGACAAAAATAAATAATTGTGATTGTTGTGTTCATCCTCCTGTGGCATCCGTGAGACTTTAGTGCAGTGGGTGTGTGTGTGTTAACCGATTGTTTAATTTTGTAAATGCAGTGACGTATAATTAATGGAAGACTATCCTGTGTGGGGAGCCGAGTAGCCGCTACAGCCTGATACAGCCAGTCTTGAATGTGAGTTGTTTCTATTTTTTTTACATTTTTTGCCTCAGATCCGTTGACAATCACTCAATCGCCGTAAGCAACTGTCCTGTATGTATCTAGTAGTTCATATTTTGATGATTTTATTTTCGGCCTGGCCGATAGGAATCGGGTTCTGCGTCGGTTCAATAGTTGTACCATACCCCCTTTATTATTAAAAAAGTTACACCAGGCCTGGCTCACTCCGCGCGGTACATCCGATAATTACAGGACCTACAGCGAAGCGCCCCGCCGGTATTATATCAGTCGAGTGTCAGCGCGCGCCCGTCAGGACGCTGGCGTGCGTTGTAGTATGATTATAATTCTATGATCGAAGTATAAGAGAAAGAAATATTGTGCGGCGTTCGGGTGTTTAAATTCGAAAAGAAATCTACCGGATTTATCTTTTTTTTTCGCTTCCCAAAGATGCTGAAAGGTATGTTGGCCATGTAGGTAATCAATAATTCTTAGGATAGTATAGGAACCTAACCTACTATGACTACTGCTCAGAATGCGTTCGTTCGTTTCAGCCAAATGACGTCCACTGCTGGACAAAGGCCTCTCCCAAGGTTTTCCATAATGAATGCATACTTATCTACATACGTACCTCATTACAAATAAGTAGAATAATTATTTTTTCACTAGACAGCAACCCTAACAGCGTAAGAAGAGTTCAGAGGCACGCGATAGAAAGAGACAAAACTTGTAGGTGAATAAAATTGTAGGTACGTAGTGCTGTGCGAGCTGAATTCCACTGTATCGCGTCGCAGCAAGACTCGCATTTATTTAAATCGTCTTGCGGAGTAATCCTTCTGTACCTGTACTATTACTTATTCTGTGGTTACACATAGGATGAAATCTGGATTAAAATGACATTTCCATACTAAATGACAATTTAAGCCAGAGTTCAACTAAGTAGGGTGGAACTTTTGTTAATAAGGAGGTACATGTCTAACTTTTTTTCCTAATAATACGATATTGTTTCAATGAACATTTATACTAACTAACAGACTATCAGTTTGTATGTAGTCTGTTGTACATACAGTCTTACATAAATCCATTGCGATATAAACATACACCAATGGTTATTTTCCAATAGAAAATAGCGCTAAAGTTATCGGAATTGGTGGTACTAGAGTCAAGCGGTTTATAATGGAGTTATTTTTATTTTATTTGATCACCAACAAGATAACGTTGTAGCATTCAAAGAAAAACTTACAAAAACGGTTTGCCTAAATAAATCCATAAATAAATAAAAGACAGGAGACCATCCCGTCCGCAACTGTAGCAAAGATGCTACGGTATGACAGGTATCCGTAGCATTTGCTACGAAGACGTCCTGCGGCAGGCTACGGCGTAGAGCTCACCTGCTACGAAAGCTTATAAAAAGAGCTGCTGTCACTACTTCCGTATTGATTATACTTATTGTAATTCATTTATATGTCTTTATGTTTATGTCAATTTCATGGTCCAACATTATATTTTATTCTACACTACAAATGAGTAAGTGGTGACTTTTTATTTTTACTTTATTTATTAGGACAACCAACAAGACAAACGCGCATACATGGAATTACTATAACTAAAGTACTTAGAACTAAGTGTTGTCTTAATTAAAGGCTGCCACGTCATGCAATGTGACATTTAAAAATATTACCTTGATAGAGATGTTGAATGCGCCGGTCGGTGGGCCTCAGCCACAACATTACACGCTCGTCATGTCACACACTTAAGATTTTTAAATCCTATTTTTGGGTCAAGTTTGTAAATTTATTCCACTGGACTTTCTAGACATGTTTAAAAATATGTCTCTCTTTTCAAATCACTTGTAACGTGTTCTTGCAAAGTTTTCGTTAATTCTATAAACAGTTTCAACCGCTATTATTTTAATTAAAACTTTCACTCCTTCAAAGTCCCGAATTAATTCACCTATTGTTTGTAGATTCAATTTTAATTTGGTCACAATTTTGCTTAAATTTGAGTGAATATACTCGTATCTCATAAAATACACACTATGTTCTTGCACTTTAACATCGTTGTTAATTGGCTATGAATGTTTAAAAAATGTAAAGAAAAGAGATAAGTGATGGTGTCAGCCAGCCGGATGCGAGGCCGGAAGCGCGCGAGTGAGCCGAGGGCGGGCGGGTCGGGCCCGCCCTGTCTCCGCCCGCCCTTCGCCGCGTCCACATTACATCGCTCGGCACTAGATTTGTGACGCGATTGTGTAATCAAGTGCCGCGTCAATGGGCGAGAGGTGATCACTTAATGTAGACTATAAAAATAAGGAGTGAAAGTGGAGTGTTGTGAACCATCAAATGGAAGTATGCGTGAGCTTGAGAGCTAATTCAACATCTTTATTTGTGTTTACTGTCTTGTTACTTTGATTAATATAACTAAACGTTGTTATTGTGGTGTTTACTGACAAACCTCATGTTACATGACTCAGATGCCAATCAATCTTAATGCTGATCTGTCTGCATTGCCGAATTGGAATCACGAAATTGTAATACAAGGCACACGCTTCAAGACACAATGAGAACTTTTTCTGTAAAAATAATTTAGCGAAATGATTCATTCATTGCAGTGAATCAGTTTAACTCACATTTTACAATAAGTACACCTTTTTTTCCTGAAATTGTTTCCGCTTCTTAGAGATAACGAGTCGCTAGCTTAGGTATTGGTGGAACTCATAGAGCTTTTACGAATTTGCGCGTCGACATGACGAAGCCGTCACTCGAATTCGTGTCCAATAAGCGCTTAATCATCAAGTGCTGTTCTTCCCCTAGCTAGTCTAGCTAGATGCTGCCTTTTTTGTAAGTTTACTCACTTTTATAATTTATTTGTCAAATATGGCCACCCGCATTAGAGCCGTAAGCCGTTTGCCCCCCGGGTCGTGGGGCCCGGGCGCGGGGCCGATATTGCGCGCGCGCCATGCATTATGCATGCGCTCCGCCAACTATGTGAGCTCATTATAGGACGTTTGCGAAATAAAACGAGGCCTATGATCTCTTTGGAATACCGCCGATTTAGACTTTTATTCGAAATATAAATATTTCACCTACACACTTTGACTTTGATCTCCGTAAATGAAACGTTGGGTTTGTTTGTTGCATAATCATTTAACCGCAAAAGACCTTCAACAAGCTACGCTATTGTTAAGTAGTTACTTTTACTTTATTTTTCGGCCATACTCGCTCTGACGCATAAATCACTTCTGCAATGCGCCTCACGCAACGCAAGATTATTATTATATAAACCAAAGGAAATAATCGAAATATTCAATCAAAATCAAAAATATTTTATTCAGTTTAGACCACTATTTTGGAGATTTTGCCACTTATTTAAGAGTAAATAAATATTTTCCAGGCAATCTTAACCATAAAGTATAATGTTACTAACAACGGTCCCTTTGTAACAGTAACCTAGGGGTATTGTTCTGTCCTCTAGGTATTTTTGGAGGTTTTCCTTGTGTTTATGTTAATAGTCATGCATGTTATCTATCCGCTATCTTTAAACCACATCATTTGATATTCTGTATTGTGAATTATCCCATCTTCTTTTTAATTAACTCCGCGCAGGGATTTGATAACAAAATAATTGGCGCCAGTCAGTGAGTGGCTAGAGCCGGCTTAGCTCAGCGGGCGCTCACAGTTTAGTGATTTCCTCCCCACCGAAATATCGTGATGAATGACTATTTAGTTTAATTAGTATAGTAATAATCGAATCGAATTTGAATCAAACCAAAGATGTTTTTTTAATTTTCAAGGGTCCCCTAATAATGGTAATTAAATGTGAAAGGAACCATAAGACATGGCACTGATTCCTAAAAGTATGAAACGAATACATACCTTTAAGCAAGAAACGAAGCTCTAGCTCGATTTGAAGTTTTGAACTCAAACGAATTCAAGTCTATGCAGGCCTTCCACCAATGATGTTTATTGAACAGTAACTAATATAAATTATTTGATGGTTATTAAGTATTTTAAACTCCTCCTTTTTTGATGTCGGTTAAAAAGATAAAATAATGAACTTATAAGATAAAAAATAAAAGTTTTAAAACTACAATCAGCTTTTTTAATTTTGTTTCTTAGATAAAACCGTCACTAAAATTACGATATTTCTTGACACATATAGCAAGTTTTAAACACCGCTAAAATGTGGCGCAGCATAATTGAGTGGTGGTAATTTATGAGACGCGAATAGAGAGCACAAATTAAACTTCTCGGAAACATGGCGCGCGCCGTGTGCGGCAGGCGACGAGCGAGGATCCGATAAATAAATTGCTGCTATTATAAGACACATTTCGGAAAACCATTAACGGACTTCAGAGGTATAAAAGCCGCTGTAGAATTTAGGAAACAATCTCCAATTCCGCTAAACTTACTCGTAGATAGGCTCAATTCGGGGAATCTCTAAAAATTATAGTTATGAAAACAAAACGTTACCAAATAAGTATCTTTAATAAAATCAATAGGCTTAGAGCGCTTGTAGACGTCCGTTTTTTTCACCGGATAACGGACCGTGTTTTTTGCCGGATTCGCGGTGGCGTATGGTTTATAATGAACGTGTGCACATGCATCGGACATGGGTCCGGCGAGAAAATTGACAGCAAACAAAGGATATCGTTTTTTGACGGTCCGTTATCCGGTGAAAAAACCGGCCAAGTGCGAGTCGGGCTCGCGCACAAAGGGTTCCGTAGCAGCAAAAGTTAAATCAACCTATCTCAAAAACTATAAGAGATACTTTGATCAAACCAAAAATCGTTGAAAGAGTTAATTAGCATGCATCACCTCTATTTTTTTTAGAATTTTATACCCCGTAGTTATAAAAATAGAGGGGGGGGGACATACTTTTTACGACTTTGAGAGCTGATATCTCAAAAACCGTTCACTTTAAGAAAAATGTTTTTTAGAAAACTTTATATCATTTTAAAAGACCTTTCCATTGATACCCCACACGGGTATGTACATCGAAAAAAAATTTTCATCCCTCAG